CATAAAAACTCAGCAAAATCTAGATTAGTTGACTCTAATAAGATAAAATTTAAAAGACTGATTCATGAACAAAGAACATTTTTTCCATCAGCCTCTTCTTTTCCAGGTACTACATTTATATGACCATAAATAATACTTAAAGAAATATTTTTATCAGCAATATTAATGATGCTTTGAATTACATTTAATCGATAGTGTTAGTGTCGACAAACTGCAAGTTTTAAAAACATCAGTAAGAGAGAGAGAGAGAGAGAGAGAGAGGTAATAAGCTTTAGCACAACACCAAATTGGTCGATTATCAGATCAATTAGGGGGAGTAACACACTGAATTTATGAATCTATAGGTTGGACAGAAGGCTAGGGTAATAATAGTGGCTGAGTAGACTTGTTTATTTTTCACACAGAACTCCGAGTGATTTAAGTGAAATGCAGTGTGGTCTATTCTGTTCGGAGTATTCAGTATCCAGAGGTCTTTGGTAATTTATTCGATTGATGTGATAGATGATATGTTTGGACGAGGTGATAGAATTTAGAACTATCGATGGTTTTAATTATACCTTTATTTAACCGCACTGATAAGTGTCCCAGAGCACGAGAAACTAGCTTCTTAGAGCAACCAACGGCCAATATAACTGGCTCAACAGGAGCGGCTGGATCAATAAATACAATTAGTTGGATGATTTCATCATGAGCTGATATCAGTTAGTAAACCATTGGAAAACCAGTACAGGAGTACTGGAAAACTGTTTTGTCGACCTAGCTTGGGACTCTTCAGCAGTACTCACCCAACACTCGGGCCCAAACCCTGAACCTTCTTGTTACAGGGCGAGCTAGCTCGTAGACCGGTAAGCCACTGGGATCGGATCCAGTCGCCAGTCCAAAAATTCTAACTTCCACCAATTAATGACATAGCGTAACCACTTCGTAATCCCTTCTTCGATGGGTTACTGCCTCACCTTCAACCTGCTGTACTCTACTAGTCATAGCTTAGCACTAGAACCCCAGGTTAACTGCTTGAATAGGGTCGGTCACTAGTGAGCATCAGGATAATTTTCGAGTATTGGTTTTGTGGGGATTGTATTTTATTGGTTGAAGGATTTCATCATGAGCTGACATCAGTTAGAGAACCACTGGAAAACCTAGTTTGAGACCCTTCAGCAGTAAGGTCTACGAGCTCGCCAGCATTGTAACTAGGAGGTTCTAGGTGCTAACCCCAGCTAGTGCGTGCTGATGAAGAGTCCCAGACTAGGCTGAGGAAACAGCTGTCCAGTACTCCCTGCTGATTTCCAGTGGCTCTCTAACGGATGTCAGCTCATGATGAAATCCTCCAACCAATCCAACACATTCCCTATAAATCCAATACTTGAAGATACAACTGATGTTAGCTAGCCTACATACTTCGTCTTTCAGTTGAGGAATCGCAACCGAATTGTTATGTACTCGTCGCTAAATTATTGTTATGGACTGGTCGAGAAACTAATAGTCCTGACGCAAAAAGGCGGAAATCAGAAGACCACTAGGTTTGCGATGATACTTCTATTGTCCAAACACAAGGAGACGAAAATAAATGGTCTCACACCAAAGTGATAGGTAAGTAAAGTAGTTCACACAAAATGTGTGAACGAAATATATATATAACAAAATATATATATATATATATAGCAGACACGTCAAACAACAATATATGGATATATGTCACTAAACAACGGACTATCAACAAACACTCATATTATATATAATATAAATGGAATATACATTGTTAAAGGAGACAAGTTCACACAAATGAAATGGTCACAGACTAAGAGAGCAAACAGAAAGAGAGACCAACATGCACACACACACATAAATATATATGTGGATACATATCACGAATGTGTAGAAAATGTAAGTTGCAGCTTACCGGCATTAAAAGGCCTCCGAACCGATTCTCTCTCTCTCTCAATATATATATATATATATGATTGAACAATAAAGGAATGCGTAGGAAACAAGTTTAGTAAAATCGCCATTGTTATGCGAACAGAATGTTCAGACAGAGGTATTATTACTGGTCATTTTTGGCTTTTGTCTTCTAAACCTTTACCTTTTACGTCAATATGATGATTTATTTATATAAACGCAGTGTTTTCACCATCCTATGAATAAACAATTCTTCTTTGTTCATAAAGTTGATTATTATTCTTATTCTTATTATGACTAAATGCGCTCAGCTTATAGCCACTTTTTATTTTCACACTTGACAGATCATCATGTTTTATGTATGCTTAATATTTATTTATTTGTAATATCATGTTTAAATTAATAATAGTTACAATAATAATGAAAGTTGTTCAGTTTCGAACAGTCAACTGAGGAAGTAATTAGCAAAGAAACAGTTCAGTCGTCAGCATATTTGACAAAATTGATCTCCTATGAACAAGACAAGTCATGTAAAAAGAAGGAAAAAAGAAGAGGTAGATGAGGAGGAGAGAGAACAGCATCTTCAGGGATATAGGCTTCAGTAAGCAAGGAAAAGGAAGATTTACCTTTGTAACATACCGCATACTGCTTTCTTTCATTGCACACTAGTAACTAGTGTGCTGTGTCTAGTCCTTTATTTGGTGCATACTGAATTCTATCAGTCAGTTTTGCAACAAACAACCAGACACGCCACAATAGTTACTAGTGTGTAATGAAAGCATCCAATACAGTCCTACAAGAGGTCAATCGTGAGCCTGAGTAGCTAGCTCAGTGGTAACACCTTTGACTGCAGTACTGGGTGACACTGGTCCAAATCTCAGAAGAGACATGAGTTGTTTCTTCATGGTTGCAGATACGCCTTGCTGACACTTGTGAGTCCCAACTAGCATAAAACTTGGGTCCAAGGCTTCTTGCTGATTGCCTCCAACCGTCTAACATCAACAATACTACTTTCTATTTGATAAAAAAGAGTGCAACCAGCCAACAGTCCAGGAGTCAGTTGGTGTCATGGAAAGCAAGATTATTTAATAAAAGCCATCTAGGAACAGAGTCAAGAGCAGTTGTATAATTCAGGAAAGAACATCGAACATATTTAGTTATCTTGCCCAAGCAGAAAACAATGTTATGACACGAAACAGTGTAGCAACAGCATCTAAAGTACATCTCTTCTGTTTATATGCAAGCTTTTTAGGGTCACTAAAACTGAGTAATACATGAGTATAGATCTAACAGAAAAGAATATTGTTTGATTACATTATTTTTGTCATAAATATATATATTCCTCTATCTGATATTAACATTACCGAAGAGAGGATCTATGCTAATACTTTATCATAACAGATACTCGTATCCAATATCTGAATACTTAAAACTAATTTCATCTCATCAAAACTACTCAAATGTAGTTCTTAAAGCAGACAGCTTTTTTTCACTTTTGAGTACTCACCGCTGTATGGATATAAACGACTTAAAGAAAAGAAGGAAGCATTGTTGATTATGTCAGTCAACAAGTCCTTATCTCCTTACTTTCTCAAGTATTATGAAAAATATTTTTAGATATGGTAAAAGACAAATATTTTATGATTTTATAATATATATTAAAATACTTTGGTATAAAAATGATTTTTCGGTACATGCCATGCACTTATCAAGCACTGTAGACGTCAACTTGAGACAGCATATGACGTCTAAGTAAGCACTTCATCGAAACGCTTGCCACTCATTCATAAAGGTGATTGAAAGTGCTGCAGTTTATAGTGATGTATAGTTATATGTATACTACTTATTTTCATGAACAGTTGTATTTCCCTGAAGTTATACATCGATGTCTTTTAACTCCGTATTAAAACTAGAACTGCAGTCAACAGTTTCCTTCTCATGGAGATTGACAGTTAAAATCACAAGTTCGAAGCTACTGAAGTCGTCTTAAGTAGTGTTGATAATAAATCCTGTTATATTTCGCAATACATCGATAATGAAATATGGGACACCGAGTTGGACACATACCATTTGGTACTGAGAACAGTTTGACTATGCTAACAACATTATACGACAGCTACGTGTTTCCCTAGCCCACACTACTTAAACGCGAACAGACCACAATGTGAGTCGAATTAGTGCATGATTCAAAATATCACCAATGATGTGTCAGTTAGTCTACAAATCCTGATCAACAAAATGGTGGGCTTTATTTCACTACGACTAATTCTGATTGGTTAATTTTCAGACTGGACATCAATCACCATATCTATCATCTATAAAAGATAATCCATTTTTTATCTGTCTACATATCAAATCCTTCACCTGATTGCTAGTGTTGAATGTTATTATACATTTTCGCCAGCTAAAATGTGTTTAAGTCCCAAAATGAGTTTACACTACAAGTCCACAGCTAAGCTGCATATAGGCGTATCGCACTCTATCTCCATCTCGGTACATTGTGTAACAACAAAATTACCGATAATAGACAGGCCTCAAGTTAGTTAAATTACTATCTGAAAACGCTCAATAGTAAATATTCATTGTTTAGGTGATTATGAAATTTGTATGTGAGTGTGTGTTAGGAGGGACAAGCCTCTTTGCTAGTTGTGAAGTTATGATTTATGCGTAAATTGATATAGTAACGTGTTGGACAGTTTTTGATTCGTTTAATTATAGATTAATTTCTTGAGAAACTACCATGTCATTCAACCAATCAGATTTATTTATTCATTTACGACTTAAATTCCTCAGGTTTTGTAAATATGATATACCATGTATTTTGTTTAACAAACGTTAACACGATTGCCGCGTTTGTATATGATTTTTGATTTTATCTCAGTGTATGGGATAATTTCAAGATGCCAGTTGGTTATGGTGTCGTGTCTGGAGGTGCACTCTAGTTACGTTAGATGAACCAACAACGTAACAATAATCCGTCACAACACACTTTGGTGGCGGGTTCACGAAATTATGAATACAGAATATATGCATATATATATATATATATATATATATATTCCTTAAACACTTCTAATTTCCTTGGTTTCTGTCTCCTTTAGTGATGAAAATCAACTTCACTGGAAAACTAGTGGTTATGAAGCAAGAATAAATGTATCCGTTATTGCATTGAAAGATTATGAATCTATGTCTGATAATGTAATCGCCCTACGTCAAACAGGTAAGTTGAAATACAGAAATTTTCGTACAGAAAGAAATAATAATTTGTTTCAAAGTGAAGTAGTCTGTGTTAATTCAGTGGGTCACAACCAGCACTGGAATCCAAGATACACGTTTCGTCCTACTTGGGACTCATCAACTGAATGGATGCACCCAAAACCCGTCTTTTCAAACTCTGTCATTTATTGAGGCTTGTAGGTAAATTCAGCTGACAAGTCTTGAATAGGATGAATGCCAAAACTAGTCACTATCAATCAAATCACATTATGAAAAGTCGTAACCAGTCAAGTAAGAGAGCCAGTACTCGCCGATGACACCTTCTGTTGGCTGAACTATACATATGTATCGTGAACTGGCAGAAGTTGGAATTCATAGGCCATTGGATGATGTCTCAGTAGATGAATGGCCTACGGGCTAGCCTAGTAACCAGAAGGTTTGGGATTCTATTCCCAGTAGGTGGGTGCTGATGAAGAGTCTCAAACTAGGACGCAACAGGCATCCAATACTCCCTTGTTTTTTCAGTGATTATCTAAGTGAAGTATGTACGTTATCAGACATAAAAACGATCCAGCTGTTTACATCCAGTTTTGTCACCAACATTTTTGTATATTGTGTTTGCAGTCAATGTCAGTTGAATAATTTCATGATTGAAACGCTTCAGAAGCGATGAATTGTAAGAGTGCGAACATGTGAAATAGATAATTTCATACATTTGGTTGCCTTGATAAACATCGATAAAGAAATAAAGACCAAATTTACAGTATCAAGTGATATCGTAGTGCATTTTACAGGTTCTCATCAGCTGAAAACTACCTAAAATTACGGTGGTTATAAGTAATGATAATGGTAACACACTTCAGTGTTTGAATGGTAGTAGAGAAAATATTATATAAATTAACTCATTTGATGTATAATTTTTCTATAGTTTGGTTTGTAAGGGTTAGTTATGTTTTTACGAGTTGATCACGGATGATTCCCAAACTAGGATGAAACAGCAGCTGTCCAGTACTCCAGTGTTGGTTTTCAATGGTTCTCTAACTGATATCAATCCGTGATCAACTCGTAAAAAAAATGATTTATAATTATTACAATCTTTAGTTTAATTTACCATTAGTTTATACGTTTCTAGAGTAAAAAAGGAGGGGAGAAGAATAGAGAAAAATCGAATAAACAGTGCTAGCATGTAGATTTACACAGCAACTAAAAAATGTCATTGTTCATAAGATTGAAAACTTGCTCAGTGAACTAAAATCACTAATACAGTTACCAAGGGAGTGACAGATTGATTACACTCTCTTCTTGTGTATGCATCAGTTCAGTTTGTAACATTTGGTTGTAATCGCCTCACTAAATCGTAATAAATTTGCTGTACTTTATATGTTTAGTAGTTCAAAGCATTTGGAAATATCGACGAAATGGCTGCAGGTATCCACAAGGTGTCTGGTAATCGCATTCTGAGAACGTCTACTTCCTTTTAAGTATAAATTTCTTGGGATACGCACAGAAAACCGGATATAAGCCCTTCCTTCCGCCCTTCCAATGTATTTGCAAGTAGATTTATAAATGCAATTGGAGTTAACATCAAGGTGCTTATCCTGCTTAGATTGGCTTATAGAGCATGTGGTACTGTGTAGTGTTACGAACTTCAGAGGTTAAAGTGTAACAACAGAAGACAAGAGTCAGGCAACAGATGGTTTATTAAGGAAATCAACATATATTTATAGATTTTCATGTACATATCATAGATTATTGTTAGCAGAAAAACACAGTCTTCTGATTGGTTGTTTATCACAGAAAGTTAACCTTGTATCTCTTTGTGGCTGTTTCTTGAATGTCGGATCATCTGTATGCTAACTGTATCCGCCTACACAAAGCCTTTGTCCTCATTTTTCTCACGACCAATATTTGGTACATAGACATTGACGTAAATTACTGTTCACCAATTTTGGCTAACAGCCAGCTATCACCACAAAAGGACCCAGTTGACCCAATTAGACAAAATAATATAATTTACAAAACACCCTGCAATGACTGTGAGCTAAGTCAACTACATAGGTCAAACTAGTAGGTCAGGGGTAGTGAGATTATCAGAACATAAGAATTTAGCTAAGGTAAGAATGGTTGAGCCTGAAAAAAGAGAAGTAATTTAGAAAAAAGCTCAGCAGTTGCAATGCATGGATTAACAAACAACCACACAATAGGGTGGGCGAGGGTTAAATTTCTAAAAAGTAATATAGGTAGGTGGACAGCGAGAGAGATTAATTACTAAATCCTTGTTCATCGAGTCTACACCCAACACATGCAATAGGAATGATTCATCACTCAAACCCGAAATATGGAAAATACTACTACCAATCAAATCAAGTAAAAAATAATGGAACTATATAAATGAAGTTAGGAAGTCGTGTGAGTAGTTCCTTGATATGATTATTATCGGCAGTAATAAATTGTGCTTGAAACGTCATCAGTAAACATTACTGTATAACAACACTGTGAGACTTTATCAAAACAAACATTTACCCATAACGGAATAACTCTCAATACACTACTATATAAACACAAAACTTGTTGAAAATCATCTTAGACCTCGTTATTATTTTTTTTTCTAAACCGCAAAAGACACATGAACTTTCCAACTATTTTAAATTTATATGACTTACATTCAAAAAGTTTTACATTACAAAAACATTACTTTTTTCATCTGTTTTTTTTAAAAAATATTATCAAAGCTCTGTCTTTTGGTGTGATTACGGCAAAATATGATGCAGATTTATCAACTATACGTGATAGTATTATTCAGCTGAATAACTCTCAGGTGAAAGGAAAAAATGAAGATTCTGATGGTGTGAACTTAACTCATCATTCCAGTACAGCATTACACTTATCGGATTCCTGGGGTTTTATTGATTGTAAGTTGTAGTTAAAATACACATCGTATAGTGATTTCGAAATGATTCTTGATATATTTTTTTTTAGAATTTTCTCCAGTCCTGGTAAATGGTAAATTGTTATATGACCTGACTAATAGTATTACTATAATTAGATGGTTACAGGTTGTTAGCAGGATGCCCAGCGTGACCTAGATTTCGTCTTTGTTGACACTCATCAGTTAGGAGTATCTAAGGCAATGAAGGACCTCATGTCCCTTCTGAAATTCGGACCTGCGTCATCTAGTGCTTCAGTCAAAAACGTCACCACTGAAAGATTCGATCAGAATTTATGTTCATCTAGTCTACACCCAACACGTGCAACAGGAATGACTCATCACTCATACCGGAGATATGGAAAATACTTCTACCAATCAAATCAAGCAATGAAAAATAATGGAATTATATGAACGAAGTTAGAAAGTTATGTGAGTAGTGCCTTGATATTATTATGAGCAGCAGCAATAAATTCTGCTCGAAACGTAGTCGCATCAGTAAATATTAATGTATAACAACAATGTGAGACTTTATCAAAATAAATTTTACTCATAATGGAACTACTGACTGACCCCATGTAGAACTGTAATATCTAATCTCATGCTTCAAATTCTTTGTTTATTCAGTGACGAACTCGAAGAACTCAATAGTAACATGTTTCCGACTGCAGCTCTAGATGGCCTGGGTTTGAATCTCAGAAGAGAAATGAATTCTTTCACTATTGACTGATGAGTGCCAACAAGCACAAAACTTGAGTGTTAGCCAGGGCTTCCTGCTGATTGCCTCCAACCATCTAATAGCAACAATAATTCACAGTGCACCCTGATGATGAGCTTTCCTAGTGGCTTGGTGACCACACTGCAAACTTGGTTCATAGAATTCAATCTGCTCTAAACACTGAGGACTGGATGCATGACTCTAGTTGCTCTACTTTGTACCCAATCAAAGGTTAGCATGAATACTAATCACGTCCTCTATGTTCATCAACAGTAAATGGAGAAGGGTAGAAAGACTGAATCATCTATAAATCTTAACATTGAAAGACTTGTGAAGTGTGTTATCTCATATTAAGTGGATCCGCCTTATGAAAGCGACAATTCTGTTTTGTTATTAATTTATAGCTGCTCAAACATAATGGCCAATTCTGTAAACTACAGCTTTCTCAGCTAATTCTACTTATAAAATTACTCATAAATAATAAATAATAATCGTGGCAATAGTAAACGACAGATACCTTGACCAGATGACCTTGAACTGGCTAATCAAATTCTTCCGAGTGAAAAGTGGCATTTATTATATTAAAAAGGTATATGTTTACAAGATATATATATATATGTATGTAATAAAAATGAATTATACGGGGTATATCATCCCTAATATGCTGCAAAAATCAGTCCTAGCTTCTCATAGGAGTGTCTACAGGCATATCAAACCAATGTGTATCGAAAAATTCGTCTAAGTGGCTTTATATGAAATCGTATCGCCAACCATTTACCATTCTAATATTATCTTTAAATGGGCGCAGAATCCTTTAGTAGGATTTGTATGAGTTCCATTTATAGGATTGTTATGTACTAGTTTCCCCGTCGCCAAACTGTTATGAACTCGTCGCTGAATTATTGTTATGGACTGGTCGAGAAACTAATAGTCCTGACGCGAGAAGGCGGAAATCAGAAGACCACTAGGTTTGCGATGATACTTCTATTGTCCAAACACAAGGAGACGAAAATAAATGGTCTCACACCAAAGTGGTAAGTAAGTCAAGTAGTTGTAAAGTAAAGTAGTTCACACAAATTGTGAATGCGAATATATATAAATAATTCAGACAAGCGTGGGAAAAATCATTAGACAGTCTTAACATGAATGGCTAATTATAATGGAGTGTCGATCCAATTATACATAGCGAATATAGCAGACATGCCAACAAACATATATGGATATATGTCACCAAGCAACGGACTGTCAACAAACACTCATATTATATATAATATAATATAAGGAGAATACACATTATTAAAGGAGACAAGTTCACACAAGTGAAGTGGTCACAGACTAACCGAGCAAACAGAAAGAGAGACCAACATGCACACACACACATAAATATATATATGTGGATACATATCACCTCCCCTTTTGAGAAGATGAATGATTAGTAGGATGTTTACCTGGGGGTTTATCTGGGACCTTTGGGCTTGTTGTTGACGCCTGTCGTTTCGTCTGATTGTTGGGTTTGCGGCTTCGGCTCCGTCCGGAATTGTCTAGCATTTTATGCTTCTTCACTGTATTGCGTAGAGAATTTAGTGGGACATCAGCCAGATGCAAACGATCGAACCAATCAAGTCCCAAAACATTTAAATCATTCTTCGTGACGTAACAAATTCCTGTGAATTTGGTATTGCGGAAGGAAACAGAACATTTGAGTTCACCAATTAGTTTGAGCCGCCCACCACAGGCGCTGACAAGAGACTGGGAAGTATTGGTGATAGGTGGTCTGCCAATATAATTCCAAAGTTTCTCTGATATAACAGTAATATCAGAGGCGGTATCTAGCTGCAGACGTGCATCATGACCATTCATCTGAAGATCAAGATATTTCCGCATAGCTGGTGTTGTGACTTGACGGGTTGCGCGTAGACTCAATGACTTTTTGGGGGATTTAGGACCAACATTTTGTTGAGCTTTTGCTGGATTATGATATCTGAGTTGGCGTGGCTGACAAAAACCATTTTTATGACCGATGATTTTGCACTTGCTGCAACGATGATTTTTGTATGGACAAGACTTTACAAAGTGCCACGCGCCACAATGCCAGCATGGTGATGGTGGGGTCTTCTTTGCAGTATTTTGTGAAGTTGGACGAGTATGTGTAGATTTCCGCGGGACATTAGAGAAGGTGGGTCAGGAGTGGATGATGAGAGATTTTTGCTCTTGCGTAATGCACGAATATCAGAGCTTCTCGGAGGTGTTGATTCGACCAAGTGTGTGTCTTTCTGCAGATTAATCAGCCGTTGATATTCATCAGCTATGTCATGTAATGTTAACTTGGGATTTTGTTCTAGCTGATTGAGCAGTCGAGTTCGGATATCTGTGAAACGAGGAGATTGGAGACTGCATATGAGAATCAAGGCTTTGAACTGATCATCTGTTAAGGACCTGAGTCGAAATCTCTCACATTCTCGGTTGACTGTGCCAACGTGAGTAAGAAAATCATCATTTTCATTCATTGCCAGCTTGAGGCAACGATAACGTATACTGAATAATGAGGAGTGGTCTCCGAAATGTTCACGCAGCAACTTTATTGTATCATCGAAACAATTGTCACGTGGTTTCTGTGGTAAAATTAGGTTGCAGTACCGTTCATATTCTGCCGGACCCAATTTACGTAACAACACTCGCACCTTCCAGGCATCGTCTTGTGAGGCGAGATCAACAGTGAATAAATCCTCATAACGTTGATACCATGTGTCAAAAGTGACATTAGCCTCTGGGTCATAATTGAACTGTGAAATACTGTTCACAATGCCGTCGACAGATGGTAGCATGGTATGATTGGGATTGCTTGAAGGTGAAGCTGGACCAGTCTGTTGGTTGACGAACATTTCCATTAATTTCATTTGTCGTTCAAACAATAATTCCAATTTACAAGGATCCATAGTAAATTGTTATGTTGCTGCTGCTGTGTGGTTAATAGTAGTTTTTCCCGTCGCCAAATTGTTATGTACTCGTCGCTGAATTATTGTTATGGACTGGTCGAGAAACTAATAGTCCTGACGCGAGAAGGCGGAAATCAGAAGACCACTAGGTTTGCGATGATACTTCTATTGTCCAAACACAAGGAGACGAAAATAAATGGTCTCACACCAAAGTGGTAAGTAAGTCAAGTAGTTGTAAAGTAAAGTAGTTCACACAAATTGTGAATGCGAATATATATAAATAATTCAGACAAGCGTGGGAAAAATCATTAGACAGTCTTAACATGAATGGCTAATTATAATGGAGTGTCGATCCAATTATACATAGCGAATATAGCAGACATGCCAACAAACATATATGGATATATGTCACCAAGCAACGGACTGTCAACAACACTCATATTATATATAATATAAATGGAATATACATTATTAAAGGAGACAAGTTCATACAAGTGAAGTGGTCACAGACTAACCGAGCAAACAGAAAGAGAGACCAACATGCACACACACACATAAATATATGTATGTGGATACATATCAGAATATAGCCCATTAATGATCGTCGTGAATATCCTTCGACTTGTCTTTGTGGATGGCAGCGCCTGGGAGGACTAGTCTTTGTGCTATTGGCATTAAAAGATCGTCAATTCTGTTATGGATAGGATGCGTCCTACTAACACTTTACTAAGATTTGCCTCGTACAATCCCAGCATCGAAACATCGTTCAGTCTTATCCTACGGTGATTCATTTTTCGTTTAATAAATACTGTTTCGTCAGCATGAACAACGACACCAATTCCTCGAAAACTACAAGCAATTCCATTCTTCTTTTGAGGCAGTATCCCAACAGTGCTAATGTCACTGCACTGTTGGCATTTTAGTATTCTCTGTTTCCTCAACTGTAACAGATACCGGTCGTTTCAGTAGCCACTTGTGGTACATACACAATATTTAAATAGGGAAGAGCTTCGATTTTGAGAAGAAAGCATCTAAAAAATCACTACTGAGTACGAACTACCAACCCTTACGGACTTTCTGCTATAACAACGATTGCATTTGAATTCATAACCATCATTATTGTGACAGTACTCCTGATGGAGTGTCATTATCCTTCCACATATACAGCGTGTTTTAGTTCTCCCTATCAACTCATTTTCCACAAAGAAGTCAAGAAGCAAATCTGAGTGAAACTTTTAACAAAGATTATGAACAGCAGTCATTTGTAATGCTGAACAGCTGACTGACTGATCAACTCAAGGTCATTTATCTACGGTATCTATTCTTTACTCTTGCCATAATTCTGCTGTCTTATAATCTAAGCTTTCAAACTGAATAAGTGAAAATATTTTCCTGCCTCACCCACCTCCTCTATACCTTTTTTTTCATTTTTTTGTTATTTAAGTTCTAATTTTACTGAAGATTAATCGCACTGCTGATTAATTTTTTAATATCTTATGCTTTTTAAGCACAGAGAGAGAGAAAGAGAGATACGGTATTTTATCTCTTTTATTTTTTACCTAAAATAATTAACATTCAAATTAATTATCACCTTAAAGAAATGAAAGATTCTCATTTACTTACATTTTAATAATCAATATTGTTTATAGAGATTCTCTGTTCTGTTTTGCTATAGTGTTTATCTCTAAATTCTTTTTGTCTGTGTGTTTGTGCATTCTGTGTAGTACTCTTTTTACGCCTATGAAACAGAGTGTTTTAATAATCATAGTAGTAATAATCAATAATCTCTCTCTCTCCCTGCGTATGTGTGCCGTCGTTCTCTATGTCTCAGATCCACTGTCACTATGTATCACAAATATACTTCATTCATCCATTCTTTTGATTTATCTTTACTAAGTATTAGTAGAATTCATGAAAACAGTCTTGTGACAAGCATAAGCTTATCATTCCTATCTGAAAGTGAAAGTAGCATTTAAGGCCACTCTGTGCTTTCCTGTGTCGATTATTCTACTTGAAGCTATTCAATACCATGCATAATTATCTGAACTTATTGATGTATGTGCTTGTGTGTATGTGTGTGTGTGTGAGTATGCTCTGATTTGATAACATATTGTTGTAATGTTTCATCCTTAGTTATTGTATCGTTTTACTGATGAATTTAGTATTATTATATGTACATACAGAAAGGCACACACTTATAAGACGATTTGGTTAACACCCAATGAACAATATATACGGAGATTTGTAGCTTAGGTGGATGATTTCGAATTAGTTGTGTTCTCTGAGGAGCTGGTTGATTTTAATTGCGGAGCATTCGTTGTCCTTCTTCTGGATAATATCGCTTCAGCGGAGAATTTAGTATAAAATGAACTTATTTAAATTCTCCACGAATGAGGTAATTGTATCTCCTAACCTCTATCGTGATTGGTTATTAATTTACGTACTCTATTGATCATTTTTATTGACTTGGAATTTAAAAAGTCTTTTCATGTAATTTATTACTGCATGGTGGTTAAGTAACAGACAAACAAAATCGATTCGTAGCGATATTTTGTCTCATCTTGTGAATACAGAACACAAGATTGATGTTAATGAGGCAGCTTTCAAAGTCATCTACCGCATACCATCTAACCTTAATTTTACCTCTGTAATCTTTCATATTCCTTTCTACCATTACCCATTCTGTTTCACTCTTATACTTGTCAGACTGTATTGATTCGCTTCACTCATCTTCTTGTCTACTTCTGTGTGCTATTTTGAACGTGGCAACTCGAACCGCTGCACTTCGGTGCCAAGTTCTATGTTGAATCCAGACAGAGAGACAGACTGCTCAGGCTGGCTGTTGAAATCCATATTAAGAAGCCTAATAATTTATGTTTCCAAAAGAAGTTAGTTCAGACATTATCATTACCTTGACCATCTAGGTTTGAATGATCCTGAATTTTTGTGGAATTTTCCTTATTTTAGTTAATACTTTATATACTATTATATTTTTATTATATCTATTTTAGATTTTTAGATTTCTCCACGAGTTTATTAGTCATGTCTCCTGGTGGGTGACCCTGAACGTGATTGGTTGCTTTTGTGCATTTTCACACCCTCCAAGGCTACTTGTATTGGAACTGATTGTTTCTTTGACTTGAACTTTGACCCTTTGTGTGTGTGATGTTTCCTTCTTATCGGCTGGTAAAGTTTGCCTATCTCAATGTGTCTATTGACTGATGATTCACTGGAATGCCAAGCTTCTAAAAATTTTCTAGCATTCTTGGTATTTCCTCTGTCTAATATTTGAATGCTGGTTGTCCCAGTCGAATTGATGTCCGTGGTTGTCTGTATGCAGCGAGTGATAGAGGGAGTGTATATCATGTCTTTTGACAGCTAGCTTATGGTCATGGATACCAGGACAAAGGGGACACCCAGGTTGACTGTAAACGACACGTCTCTAAGTTATTCAAAAGATATAGGACCACTAGAAAAGTAGTATATGAATATATTTATTCTATCAACGTATGTGAATAGCCGAGGAACCTTTTCGGTTAATTTCAGTCTTGTATGAACAGTGAGGTATTACTTATTCCAATGATGGTTGAATAAAGTCTGTATTTATCATAGTCAGAATATAGCGAAAATATTTATTCAGACACTTAATAGAGAAAAGAAAATCTTGAACAAAGAACATTCCTTTCAAAACTAGAAAATGGGCCTTTGAAAAAAGTGACTGATAAACTAGAATTCTACTGTTATTACATGGATGGTACATTTTTGACTATGAAAAATGAGGATGAAGCAAAGAACATTCTGTACAAATTCAACAATGTCCATCCTGCAATAAATTTTACCACTGAGTAAGAAAGAGACCCTAGTATTTCATACCTTGACGACATCCTTATGAATAGAAAAGAGGACAGTACAATAAGAAGAAGTGTATGCAGAAAAACTACATCAACTGGTCAGCATATTTATTTATTCAGCTTCTTGCCTTTGAAATGCAGACACAATCTGATAAAGTGCTTGATCCACAGAGCAAGAGCAATCTGATTTGATGAATGTCTTAGTTAACAGGTCAATATTAATAAACAGTTACTGGCTGGGAACGATCACCCAGAAAAATTCATCGATAAGAAAATGAATCAAAAGTCAAGGCCTTGTTCTTACAACCTCAGTTCCTTTGTGATAACATCAGTGGGATATTAACACAACACCTAAAGAATGCGGTAAAAAGAGCATTCAGCGCCACTGATTTACATCGTCTCTTCAAAACCACCCCCACTTCACGTTCTGGAGTTAAAGATACCCTGCCTAATTTCGCCTCCTCTATATGTGTATCTAGCAGTTTGACTGCTCCTAAGGAGCCAGTTAGTTGCATAGGCCGTACAGTTGGGCGTGTTTATAGTTGAATTTCCGAACATCATCCTTCGAGGTTAATTAAGAGGCAAACAAAATCCATTCATAGTTCTATTCTATCTCATCTCGTAGAGGCAGAACACAAGACTGACAATAACAAAGCCTTCAAAGTCATGTACCGTATACCAACTCAGCTTAATTTGACCTCAACAGTTCGGCTATATCATAATGCTGAGGCTGTTGGAATCTACATTAAGAGACCTAATCTATGTATCCAAAAAAATGGGTTTAGACACTGCCCTAACCCCCCCCCTGGCCATCAACGTCTTAATGATCCTTAATTTGTTGTAGAGAATCATTTGATTTTATTTGATATTCTATTTACTATTGTAACCAGAGGTATTCATAGATTTCTATGTACATTATTGTCAGCGGAAAAGCAACGTCTTCTGACTGGTTTTTTTCTTGCTGAAGGTTATTTTGTACTGCTTGCGACCGTTTCTTAGAAAGTTAAGCCATATATCAGTGAATCTTATTTGCACACGTTAAGTCTGCTGTGATTGGTTGGTAAGTTCCTCAAGGTTATGCTTTGTTATTGTTTTTTCTCACAAACCCGATTCGGGACGTGAACATTGACGTAAATTCCTGTCTACCAGCTTTGGCTTGCAGACAGCTCTCACCACGCTATAACATTTTTCTTGAATTGTTTATATATGTATATATGATTCTAGAGCCGCGAGAGGAAATTTTCAAAAAGAATATTCTTTACTGAAATTTTTTTGGCTTCTAAAAGTCAGAATAATGAATACTTGATCTCCTGAATTAATCTGCATACTTTTACCCATCTTTCTTAGAGAAATTTAATGAGTTGTAGTCATCTTACGATTACTGTAAGATTAAACGTTAACACATTTTTGTTATTATTGTTATTATCATTTTAGCTACTACAGCGGCGTGTCGATTTTTTCTCATTGATAAAGAACAAGAAAAGGTACACTTTATCACAGATGTCTGTAATATGGAAGATTTATTTCTAATTGACTCACAGTTGGAATCTCGTCAGGTAAATCATCATACACTGAATGACAGCCTATCACCGCAATATTCTTCTCATCATCACCAACACAACCACCAAGACCACCACCACCACCAACAACAACAGGGACCACCAACTGACGACTGTGAATCTGTCAATAATCAGTCTACCATAAATAATCAGATAACAGAAACACAGGACAGTGTACTACTCAAAGCAGAAGAAGGCAACACACCCGTAGCCAGTGAAGTTGAACAAGTAGACACCAGTGAGTTGAACATTAAATCAATCAAAATTAAGGTAAATTAATTTGATTAGGAACTATGTATGTTCTAGCTGTTCAACTATCTCGGTCTCTTTGTTGGTTTCTTTGGATTAGATGTTGTGGTGTTTCTCGGTGTTTCTCTCTTCTTGTTGCTGTCGTTGTTGTTGCTGTTGCTCATGTCTGTTTGTTTGTTGGTTTTCAACAAACTTCTTTTGTTATCGATGCCTAACTGTTTTTATATAATACCTGCTATCGCTGATGATATTCCCTAGCTGTAGTGTACAGGATTATGAGGAAGTCAGTGCGTGGGGAGCAAGAAGAAGTCTCTCTGGGAAATCTATACTTCATGGACGATTTTTTTCTAGTCTCACACAAACTCAAAGACATAACATGCGAAAACCAAGAGGTTTTCACACGAGGGTGACAGCAAAGACACGACTTCTTCAGGCGAATATATAGGGAAAAATAACAAGCACAACAACAAGAACTAATCATTATCAATGGAGGAAATTCTAAAAGGATCACTTCCTTCACTTATTTAGACAACATCCTTTCATCTACAGATAGACGGATCGTATCAGGATATCAAAACGAGAATCAGAAAGGCAAGACAAATCCTAATCAATTTGAAAACAGTTTGAAAATCTTCTGCACTCAACAACAAACTTTATATTTTTCAGCACTAATGTTAAGTCAATCAGTCAGTCAGTCACTTTTTGGCGAGTGCAACATGAAAAGCAACTTCAACGGGGCCAGTGTAAACTTTTCACAACAGCAACCCCATTCTCTGGTTCCATACGGAAAATCAGATGCCTAATTGGAAGAAAATTAGGTAACAACAAGAAAATCTGAGAATGAACTAGTCAAGAGTCTGTCGCTCAATGAATATTCCAAAATGGAAATATATTAGAGCAGAAAATGATTTGCATGAGTTATCCTACCTACAAAGATCAGATCAATAGTTATCTCATAGTATTCCTATTATTTTACTTTGGAATTTCAAACATTTTAACATCAATCCTTAAAACTAATAAATTTACAGATTCGTTTAAATTTATTAAAAAGTAAAATTTTCAAGGATTGGTTTTGTAGGGATTTTGTGTTTGATTGCATGGAGGATTTCATCATTAGCTGACATCAGTTATAGAATTGGCAGAAGTTAGAATTCATGGACTGGTCATTGGATCGGGTCCAGTGGCTCAATGGACTGCGAGCTAGCTCACCTTGCAACCAGAAGGTCCTGAGTTGGAACCCTGATGGTGGGTGAGTATTGCTGAAGAGTCCCAAACCAGGAAGAAACAGCTTTCCAGTACTCTCTGGTGGGTTTTCCAATTGTTCTCCAACTGATGTCAGCTCATGATGAAATCCTCCATCCAATAAAAAGTAAAACTTTTCTATGTTTGAATAAAGCAAAAACAACAAATGTACCAGGATTATCTGAGCTCATGTTTCTTTAAATTTTTATTATTTCGTGGATTCTTCTTGTTAACTAGTGGTTACAACCTGAAAAATATCAAAATTATAAATTAAATTAAAGATATGAGCATACTGTTTTTTACAATAATAATGAGTAATTGACTGGAACTAAGAGTAACATTGGTCAGGAATGATGCATTAAGTTGTTGAATAATTGGGAGTGGAAAGGATCGACTATTTATAGGAGAATTGCATGAATAAGCTTGGAAACAAAAGGACAGCAGAGTTCAACAGATATTTTGTGAGTAGAAATAAAGTTCGACTAGAAAGAGTATAAAAAGTAACAGGTTGCGTAACCACCGGAAAGCAAGTTTTTTATAAGATAGACCAAAAAAGGGAGGCGGGTTGAGGCATATTTAGACATAAGTATCAAGTTTTCTAAACAGGACAGGAGATGACATAGTGAAATTTGTATGCTTTCTTATTACCAAGGCAGTTCCAGAGATTTATCACTGTCTCTTTCTAGGTATATAAATTTGGTTATGAAGTTTGAACAAACTAGTGGATGTATATCATTTCATGGATAAGATAAGGACTATCAACTATAGAGTGGGAACGTATCAGTGATCTTGAATGTATAGTATTTGTTGGATTACAAAGTCTGCAGCCGTATATATTACATCGGAGGGGTATCTATTTACGAGGAAAATTAACGTAATAATAATAACAGAACACATTACAGACAATATTTTACCTTGACGAAACTGAGAAATACTTCCCAATTACCATGGAAGGTATCAGTTTTCAAGTTCCAGAGCTATCAAAAAGGTTTCACATATGTGAACAACGAAATACTCCCCTACTCTCATTTATTTATTTATTTACAAGAAAAATAATACTAAAACATCCTTACCCTAACTAATCCTAACCACAACAGGCAAAGCTAACCGCGATCCTGCTACATCTAAATTGCCATCAACTCATTTTCCAAACAGTACTTAAACACGAAATAAGGATGAAAGTTGCACATTATTTCATCCACAGCGTTCATAGTGGCGATATGATAATGCAATTCCTATGTGCTTCTGTGGTTCAGCGACAGAATGTTTCAAATGGTCCGAAGTCCAGTTCTCAGCAGGCACACACCTTTATCTCCCTTACTGGACTGACTGGTTTCAACGCAGAACTGTGCACAGATGTGTAGCAGTTCCACTTGCCATACACCTTCCATATAGCACACAATGCAAGAGAAGAGAGTAGAGTTTCAAAAGAGAGATTATAAACAAAAACATGCTGCAAAAAGAATAGTAGTATGAGAAAAATAGAATTAGAAAATTACAAGGAGTGAATGCATCTGCACTGTTTATTGAGAACCATTTTGAGCCATATCACCGATTGTCTCCAGTCATTGGTATTTGGCGTCCCGAGGACCCCAACCATGAAGTCTACACCTCCCTACGTGGCTGGCTGGCTTAAATTGACTCTTGTGGATTCCATTGACTGATGAAGCCATGTTTTGGTTTGACCACCACTAACTCTTCTGCGACATGACCCTATGTCAGCTAACATTGTCCGTCGAGGAAGGCGATATCTAGGCATGCGTAACACATTCATTAACCATCTCGGTCGATGTAACTTCCCAACCTCGTCTATTAATTTCCCCTCCTTATCTAGCACTTGACGCCTAACCTCAATTTTACTGACCCTACTATACCACCTTACACGGGAGGTAGAACGCAAACATCTATGATCAAAGACCTCACATAGCTAATTGCAAGCTCAGTAAAGAAGGAAGGTTGGGCGTGAAGCTTCAAACTCCACCCAGTAAAACAAATCCCACTGCTACTGACTCTAGCTTGAAGCCCTGCGTTTCACTCGGAGCCCAAAGGAATGAAACAATAAATAAACAATATAATCCAACAAATGGTGCGCACCCGAGGTCACTGGTGCGTTCGCCCACTCCATGATCTCTAGTCTTTAAGTTGGCCAGCTATACATACACTAGAGATGATTTCACATAGATATTTTGTTTGTATTTGAATTAAAATATAAAACAGATATATACAGTAAGACATGAAATCCACAGTGAGACTAAGAACATCCTATGTTGCTTGAATTAATTAGTCAAAGTTAAGGTAGATATGAAATCCTTTTTTCACTTGTGGCCAGTATTACACAAGTTCCATGTTACAGTTAAACCTTCTAATTAAAAAAAATGGTTATTTCTTTGTCGACGCCGACATAATATGGAAATTTCCTACTTATTCTTCTCAGAATATGAAATTTATATGTTCTCAGAAAAAGTATCATTCATAAGTATTGTATCGGGTGAAGACAAGAGACTTAATAACAGACCGCTTTATTCAGGAAACACACACCACATTCATATATTGAAGTCCTATCAAAGATAGGACTTCAGGTGAACATAGAGAAAACAGAGGCGATGAAGATTCCTGTCCAACAACAACAGACAACAATCAGCCAGCATAAATGGGAGGAACCTGAAAGAAACAACCTTCTTTACCCACCTACCTGGAAAGCATCGTTTCAACTACAGGCAGACAGGACTGATAAGGATATCAAAGCGAGGATCGGGAAAGCAAGACAAGTTTTCAGTTCTCTCTAGTCTGTGTAGATGTCAATAGCACTCATTATGAAAATGAAAATAAGATCCGGATTTTCAACTCGAATGAGAAGTCAGTGCTACTTACTATATGGATCAGAGACTTGGCGCTATGTCATGAAGAGCACCTCAAACAAACTACAGACCTTCATTAATAGCTGTTTTCACTCAATTCTACTCAAGATCAGATAGCTAGAAAAGATCAGCAACAGAAAGGGATCTCTAGGAGCGAACCAACACGGCAGGAACCGATTGTGATACAAATAAGCAGGAAGAAATAGAGATGGATTGGTTGGCCATACTCTTAGGAAACGATCAAGTGACATCACTAGACAAGCCATCGCTCCAGTGGAACCCGAAAGAGAAGCAGTGAGTTGGTCGTCCATGGGTAACTTGGAGGAGGTTATTTGAAGAGGAAATCAAACCATGTGAGCAGACTTGGAGCCAGGGAACCGGAGAACCGAAAGCAATGGAGACGCACGGTTGAAGCCCTATGTTCCTCTAGAAATTTAAGGAAGTAATAATAATAAGTCAACGGATAGGTTGTTGATTTTCCGAAGGTCAAAACTGTTTGGATTGGGCACTGATTTTTAAAGGCCAAACCATGAGATTATTTTCTGACCACAAGGGAAGCTAGAACCAGATTTGAGAAGTAAATGTATCTGTGGTGAGAGCTGTCTGCAAGCCAAAATTGTAGACAACAGCTTACGTCAATGTTGACGTCCCAAATCAGGGTCATGAGAAAAAGAGATAACAAAGCTTAACCTTGAGAAAATCACCAGCCAATCACAGCGGAGTTAATGTGTGGAAATGAGATTCACAGATATATATAACTTGATTTTCTAAGAAACGGCCACTAAAAGGTAACGGAATAACCTACAGCAAGAAAACAACTAATTAGAAGAAGTTGCTTCTCTGCTAACAATAACGCCAATAATAATGCACGTAAAAATCTATAGATACTTCTATATTTTCTGAATAAACGATCTGTTTCCTGGCCCTTGTCTTCCGTCGTTACACATCTACTTCTGTAGCCACTTACTTAAAGTTTTGTTTTCAATTTTGACTACTTCCTATCAGTCTGCGTCTATATACAGCTCTCATAAATCTTGTCAATAGCACATGCTAAAGTATCACGACAAAACGCCAACTAAGGTTGTGTGTACTTTGAACTAAACTACTGTGGTGTGATACAGATTTACAAGAAGCAACCTAAATTGAAATCAACATTTTAAGTCAACGGCTACCTGCAGAGGTAGAGACGTTTATTCCTCTAAATCTGGATTTAGCAGTTTACGTTACAGTCATGAAATAATCTCATTGGACAGCTTGTTTAACAGCCTGGACCATTCGCTAACCAATCAGAATAATTTAATTTGTTATCCTCTGACCATACCGAACTTTAATTTTGTTAAGATTGTGTAAATAATGACGTGGTTTTTTTTTTACTTATTAAGGGTCCAGTTACCAAGTCTCTCAACTTCTCCTGTTACACCATGACAAGTTCAGATTTAACGGGGAGTAGACCTCTGTTTATCTTGCATTGTAAAGGCAGTATTGTTATTTGTTACATTTGTGGATAAAAGATGACCATTTATTCATTCGTATTTTGAATACCATTCAAGAATGTCACGAAATGTATGAAACTTTTTCTTGCCTCTAATGATTTCAACAATAAAGAAATTATTTTATTTGTCTGTATTAATTCCAGGAAGAGTCAAACATCCATTCAAATATTGAAGATGGTAATGAGAACAATGTCACTTGTGTTCATGAAAGTAAACCGCAAAATGACGCTCCAACATCTGATACAAAGTCAGAAAATTTCATACAGTGAGTTAGATCTCAATAGATAGATAAATAGGTTCTATGTTCTCTAGAGCATTAATAGTTTGGCTAAATGAATTTGAAGATATTTAAAAAGAGCCTCTCCCTGTTATAAACAGCGGTAGAATGCTCGTCAGCCACACGGAATGTTTGAATTTGATTTCCGACCAAGGCACGCCTAAAACTAATATGATCGTCGATACAACTTGGTGGTCTAATGAGTCTATTGGCGCTTAAGGGACCTTCTTATCTAGTAGAGTAGATATTGAACCTACTGTTCTTCTAATCACACGGCCAACTTGGACTTTAGGCACAACCAACTATCAATGAAGCGCGACCGCACCATTGGCCTTGAACGGTCCAGTGGGTTTTATTCACGTCAGTTGAAGCTTCTATTCCGCTTCATTTGAGTCAGCTGCCAGCTCTAAAGCAGTTGCTGATGTTTCTAATATTTCGTAGAAATATTTTTTGCCAGGTCCCATCTATCCCTAACCCAGATTTTTTATATTTGTAATTACTGGGTTTTAAAACAGCCTATCGGAGGTGCAGCAGCTGAAAAATGGAGAGGCCTACTTCCTTACTGGGGGAGGAGGTTTCGTCGTTCATTTAGGTGAAAGTGTCTTACTAGAGAAAGAATACAACCGTGGTCGAGAAAGAGCGAATAATGTTTGGGTGATTGGTTTACATGATAACTCTGTGTAGAAAGGATTCTTTGAGACGATAGCAGATAGAAATCCTGATTAAACAAGGATCTATAATACACACAGATGAGTGGATAGGTTATAACTTCTTGTCATCCCTTGGATATATTCATCACAGAGCCAACCATTCTAATCATCTTGTGGATCCCATTAAAGGGACAAACACCAATTCTACCGAAGGCCTTGGGGAAAGGTTAAAAGCAGGATTAGAGCCACTAATGGATCCCACAAAGATGCCATGTACTGCTCATCAGTCCGCTCCGTCCTCCTGTATGGTTGTGATACCTGGCCACTGAGAGTGGAAGACATGAAAAGACTAGCTGTCTTTGATCATAGGTGCCTGCGTTCTATTTCCCGTGTAAAGTGACATAATAAGGTGAGCAACATGGAGGTTAGGCGTCGAGTTCTAGGTAAACAGGGGAAATCAATCGACGAAGTCGTGAAGCTACAAAGACTGAGATGGTTAGGACATGTGTTACGGATGCCAAGCCATCGCCTCCCTCGACGAGCAATGTTAGCGGATATAGGGTCAGGCTTGAAAAAAGCTAGCGGCGGTCAAACAAAAACTTGGCATCAGTCAATGAAATCCACAACAGTTGGTCTAAGCCACGTAGAAAGGTGTAGACTTCCAGGCTGGGGTCCTCGGGACGGTAAAAATCTATAGTTGGAAACAATTGGTGACATGGCTCAAAATCGTTCTCAGTGGCGCAGATGCATCCACTCCCTGTGACTTATGATCTTCAATGAAACTGTTTTGTATTTCTTTATTACTCCTTTGTCTCACCCCTCTGCTCACTGTTTCTATTATGCTTTTCTTGTACTTTCTTCTCTTGCTTCGCGTGCTACACGGAATGTGGCGACTTGAACTTCCGCACATTTGTGCAAAGTTCTATGTCGAAAACAGACAGACAGACAGACAAAGATGCCATTTATAGTCATTTAGATGAATATATGTATAGAATGGGGTGTAACGTTTCAATCGATATTCCTACGCTAAACTAGGAGATGTTTTTATCATATATGAAAGAAAGGTATCCTGTGCAACACTTTTAAACAGTTTTTCTGCAGTTTTTTCGTAAATATATGTATTTCATACCTAAAGACGCCCCTTCATGTGATCGATGCGTTCAGGCTCAAGCAAAAGTTCTTACCGATTGCCTCCAACCATCTAATACCATCAAATCACTGTGCACCGTGATGGTGAGCTACCTAGAATGGTGGCCACATTGCAAACCTAACTGATAGAATTCAGTCTGCACCAAAGAAAGAACTAGACACATAACACTAGTTACTTGTGTTCAATCAAACTGAAGTTTAACTTTGCCAGTATTTAACTTTAAGTTGTTTACATCTTCTTGTTCAATAAAAGAATTTTCATTCTTCTAAGAGTTTGACAACTATTAGTACTTGTCTGTGAGTGTAATGGCAAGTCTTCTAGCTTAATCTGTAGGGTTTGTTTAGTACGTAAGGTGGATTACAGCCCTAGTAATTAATCAGCGCCGGTGGCACAGTGGTTAGGACGCTCGCCGACCATGCACATGGTCGGGGGTTTGATCCTCGGCCACAGACGCGCTTCTTTACCTCTCTAAGCCACAAATAATTCTGGTAAAGAGGAAAGGTTGGGCATGAGGTTAGCAACCCCATCCCGTAAAATTAAAGACTGCTACAGAAACTTCAAGCCACTAGCTTGAAGCCCTATGTTCCACTGGGAACGTGAAGGAAAAAAAAATTAATCAGCGTAGGTTTATCGCGTAACTATTCACTATATCATCTGGATTGTATCCATGTAATCATAAGCCATCTACTTAACTAACTGTATCAGATACATTTATGTTGGAAATTCGATATCAACTGTCCTCAATTACTCTCTGAAAAATACATTACCTCAGTGATTCTCCAAGTTTGGTAGTGAACAGAATTTCATCAGCAGGCAGTAAGGAATAGACAACACTCTTTACCCACCCTTTAATGACCAGTTAATGCATACTAACTGTTATTATCATCATTATTGTTCCCTTGTGTTCCAAGTGGAACTTAGGGCTTCATCAGAAAATTATCACTTTTTCCTATTTTCTGCGGCCCTCTTTAGCTTTCACCACTATTCCCGCCTATAGGCTCATAGCTCTTCTTCAAACGGTTTCTCCAATGTCAACCAACATCCGACATCCAACTCGTCATTTCCCATTCGATTTTCATTCGAATACCTACATTCCATTGCGATATCTCCCAACTGTCTGCTCACTGTGTGTTCGATCCATCTTCATTTTCTCCTACATATTTTTTGAGCAACAGGTTCTTGATTGATTCGTTTCCAGAGCTTCTTGTTGTTAATCCTTTCTGGTCGAACATTTGAACTTCATTAAGGAGCCAATGAAGGCAGTTGTTGATGAAAGCCTGAATTAGCCTGTTGGAAATACTCTTCGTGACGCCGGCACCAGGTTTATGATCCATATAGAAGGCCTGACTAACTTAACATTATTGTTTAAAATCCGAATTTCGTTCCTAATGCTGAATGCAGAAGATTTCCAAACCGATTTCAAAGTGATGAAGGTATGTTGTGCCTTTCAGGTGACAGTGATTGATGCCTGTTATTGCTGGTTGGTTATCTGCATCACTTCCGTCTTCTCTACGCTCACTCAAAGTCCTGTCTTCGCCGTCAGCCTCTTCTACCAACTTGTTGATTTTCGCCTGTAAGTCCTCGAGTTTGTGTAACACTGGGCATAAGTCACCCTTGAAGTTGAGGTCGTCTAGATTTTTCTCATAGGTTCAACGTATTCCTGTCCTCTCACTCCATGTGGTGGGGTGCATAATTTCATTCACCACAGTTGCAAATTTCATCGTGGGTGATAGTAATCAGCCTTATCCTACGCTTGCTTTCACTTCAAAAGCTCTTCTACGTTATCCCTTGTACATTACATGTCATGTGGTATCATAACCATGTATCCCTTGAATGAGGTTGATAAAGATTTCGGGGATTGCACTCCATAGTGTTGAAGTAGTTTCCAAATAAATTCGTGGCCAACGATGTCTAAGACTTTGTCGCAGTGGATGTAGTTGAGGAGGAGATTTTTCTGTGTAGAAGTTTTCTCCCTCTTCTTTTACATCTGTCTGATATGAGGCTAAACTGGGGACCATACAAAACTCCCTTTCTGTGTATATTGCACCACACCATTGGAAGACCAGCTAAACTCTTGGTGAGACAAAAGCTACCACGGCGCCACCACTCCATGTTGCTACCAACTTCCCATCAACTAGGAAACAGTGTGGGGTATTTGTACAAGGAAGACTACGTCTACCCTTGTGACTATCGACCGGGGAAAAGAAAATGAGCCGAAGGTTTGATATAATGTCAGCATTAGACTCCTATGTTCAAGGATGAGTTTGGACATGAAAGGTGGATAAAACATCGAAACCAGATAAGAGATCGATATACCACGTCCTCAGAACACAAGCTACCAACTACTAAAAGTCAATTGAGAAACATCCTAAAAGAACTCCTAAGTTCAAAGGGAGATCTTACCTTGCTGTTGCTCCACTGGCAAAAGATCACAGACAGTATTTTTTTCAAATTGATCCAAGGAAGAGAGGATACAGAATCATTTTTTTACATTTTTTGAGGGATGGTGTGATATGGTGAACAGTATCTTGTCTAGAAATAAGCCAGTCAGAATTGGCCTACAGACTAGTTGACATATCCTTGTTGATTCTTTGAATTATACATTATTGTGCAGATCCAGCATTACCGTCCGTCTCGTTCTTTTTGTGCCCTCGCTTACACAGAGCGTAGTGTGAAATCGATTAGCCGTTGCACATACGTTCTTGGCGTAGACAAGCGATACTCGTGATTACCGCGCTTGCCACCAGTTCGATTTTCCTAATTCAAACCAACGTTTTGCAAAATATAATACTGTTATATATGACTGATGAGTTCCGAAGTTTCAAAGGGACTAGTTGGCTTTGTGTTTTATGCTCCTTGTTAACTGTGTGGCGTCGGTGGCACAGTGGTTATGTCTCTCGCCGACCATGCACATGGTCCGAGGTTCGAGCCCACGCCAGCGCACACCTGATATCTATGGTCGGCCTGCAAAATTTGGGCTACCGATATCCATGCTGAAAACTCCATACTTGTACCAAAAATACGGTGTGGAATCATGCTGTAAATCAAAAATCAAAAATCAAAATACACTATGGTGAGTATTATTGAGATTAAACGTAAAATGCTAGATAAGGAAGGGAAGTCTATCGACAGGACTGTGAATTTACGTCGACTGAGATGGCTAGGACACGTGTTATACATACCATAGCACTGCCTTTCTCAACCAGGAATGTTAACTAGGATGGGAAAAGAGTTAGTGTTGGTCAGATGAAAACCTGGCATCAATCCTTGGAATCTTTGTGTGTTAGTGTGAGACTCGTAGTAGGGAGGTGTGCGTGTGTGTGTATCGCTTGGCTAAGGACTTCAAAACGCTGAGAGCCAACAAATGGACACTGTTAGTCAAATAGCTCAAATTCGTTCCTAGTGGCACAGATACATTCACTCCATTTATAATCTCCCGCACTCACTAAGTCCTCATGTTTTCCCATGTAATATTCATTCTCCCGTACATTTTCTCTTGTTATTGTGTAACAACAGAAGACAATGGCCAGGCAACAAATCGTTTATTAAGGAAAATCAACACATATTTAGAGATTTTAATGTACATTATTGTTAGTAAAAAAACACTCTTCTGATTGGTTGTTTCTCACTGAAAGTTAATCTTTCATCTCTTTTTGGCTGCTGTTTCTTGAATGTCAGATCATCTATATGCTAACTGTATCCGCCTACGCAAATTCTGCTGTGATTGCTTGTTGAATCCGTCTTTCTTTGTATTTTTCTCATGACCAATATTAGCGAAGTAAACACTGACGTAAATTACTGTCTAATAACTTTGGCTAGCAGCCAGCTGTCACCACAATGATTCTATTGACTTTTTTTTTATTTCTCCCCACTTTTGTATGTTGTATGGAGCGTGATAACTTTAACTGTTGCACTTCTATGCAAAGTTCTTCGCTGAAACGTAGTCAGTCAATCAGTCAGTTAATCAACGATGTAATAATATCAAATAGAAAATTTACCAAACTACAATTATAATGTATAAATCTATCCTTTTTAAAATTGCCTTTCTCAGAATTGATGAATCATTGAAGACTATACCATACTACTCATTACTTACTGATAATGAGAAAAACACCTCTAAATGTCAAAAAGAATCAGAACAACGAAAAGTAATCTCATTCATAGAGGGGAAAGAAAGCGAAGAAGAAGAACAAAAGGAAGAAGAAGAAGGAGGAGGCCCAAGTGTTGCTGACTGCCGATATGCTGAAAAGGCGAGCTCTAGTTTTAACACTGAGAGTTGTTCTAGCAGGTATAGTAGCAGCAGTAGTAGTAGCACTAGTAGTTATTGTAGTACCATCAGTATTTATAACAATGGCAGCTTTAACAACAACATTAACAATACTAGTCAAGATGATAAAACAAGCATATCAACAGTGTCGACAATGACAACGACAAAAAGGTGTACTACTACTACTACTACTACAGATGATGATATGATAAGCAATACAATGCATTCATTGTCTGTACATGATGCTGAAAACAAGAAAAGAGTCAGTCTCAATAATCATCGAACCACCAGTCTTTCTGGTAGTGAGATAATCATCAGAACAAAAAATGAAACAGAAAAGGGAAGAGCAAAAGAAGAGAGAAGAATGAAGAATAGTTTTAGCAGTGTTTCAAGTAAACAGACTACTGAAATACAAATTGTGTCAACAGATGAAGAGGAAACTAGACAAGGTAATCAGTATAATGGATAATGAGTATAATGATTACAAGTACTAATAAAAATAAAGGAATTTATGTAATAGACATTGTTCTCAAAGAGTATTTCTCCTCACACCCGACCTGCTGCTGTACCCCACTGGTCAAGACTTCCCACTAGAACCCACCCAGGTAACTATCTACTTGAATAGGGCCAGTGACTAGTGAACATCAGATAGAAATTCAAGTGTCACTTTTCAGGGATTTGATTCGATTGGCTACAGGATTTCATCATGAACTGACATCAGTCAGAGAACCATTGGAAAACCAGCCGGGAGTACTGGACAGCTAACTGTTCAGTCAGTCTAGTTTGGGGCTATTCAACAGTACGCGCCCACTGACAGGTTTCGAACCCAGGGCCTTACGACTGCGAGTCAGGCTCGTAGATCATTAAGCCACTGCGACCCGATCCAGTGGCGCATGAATTCCAACTTCTGCCGATTCACGATATTAGGTGTGACTCGCACCAGTCAATGTCATCGCTGGCGAGTGTAATTGTCCTCATACCCGACCTGCCACAGCTCGCCAGTCACGTATTTCCACTAGAACCCAGGTTATAATTAAAACAATATGAAATAAAGTGGATTAGATGAATATGAGGATCGTAATGATAACGATAATGATAATGTAATAATCATCGTTTTTATTTGTTTAATTAACTGACTGTTTTCGGCTTTTTTGTTTTAGATAACGGTGAAAAGCATAAACCTAAGAAATACTGTCGAATAATAAGACGAACAGAAAGTACTCCAAGTGATTCAGAACAACTACAACGACATTTAAATAAAGGTAAATTCACAAGCAGGTAAATGAGTGAGCGTGTGAGTGAGTGAGTGAGTGAGTGAGTGAGTGAGTGAGTGAGTGAGTGAGTGAGTGAGTGAGTGAGTGAGTGAGTGAGTGAGTGAGTGAGTGAGTGAGTGAGTGAGTGAGTGAGTGAGTGAGTGAGTGAGTGAGTGAGTGAGTGAGTGAGTGAGTGAGTGATAAACCCAAAGACTTATTTATTAATCTGTCTAACCTACTCATATAAGAAGTAGACAAATAATTTATATTGAAATCGTGTTCTCTGAGCTGGTTGGTTTAGTTGCGGAGCTTTCGTCGTAGCCCATCTGGACAACATTCCCCTTCAGCGCAATATTTAGCATAAAGTGAAATGATTTAAATTTCTTCATGAGTGATATAATTGCGTCTCCCGGTAACCATCCTTACATATGTATTGACCATTTTCTATTGACTTGGGTTTTAAACTTTCTCGTCACACGGTTTACTATTTATTAGTTGGTATATTTGGTCTATATATTAACATGTTTGTTAATTGCATATTCGTTTGAGTACCAGGCCTCTAGGAATTCGATACTATGCAAACTGAAAAATCCAACAGAAAAGGGGATAAAATTAATACCATTTACAAAATAAGTTGTATGAACGGTAACAAACATTACATCGGCCAAAGTGGGCGTCCCCCTTTGAATTAGAATCCAAGAACACAAATCAGCCGTGAAAAGACACGATATATATATTCTTTCATATCAATGCATATAGACAATTATGGACGTCAGTTTGATGACTGGGATAATGTCAAAATCTTAGACAGAGGAAACACCAAAAGTGCAGTCAAGGAATTCCTAGAAGCCTGGTACTCAAACGAATATGCAATTAACAAACATGTTAATATAGACGAAATATACCAAATAATAAATAGTAAACCATGTGACGAGAAAGTTTAAAACCCAAGTCAATAGAAAATGGTCAATACATATGTAAGGATGGTTACCGGGAGACGCAATTATATTGCGGTAAGAGCAGGCTGCTAGCCAATTATTATTATTATTATTGTATCCTTTAGTTCCTAGAGGAACATAGGGCTTCAGCTGCGCACCTCCATTGACTTCGGTTTTTTGACAACTTTTTCACCCTGCTCCAGGTCTGCCCACATGCTTTCATCTCCTCTTCACATGACCTCCTCCAAGTCACCCTTGGACGACCAACTCGCCGCCTCCCTTTCGGGTTCCACTCGAGGGCTTGTCTAGTGATGTCACTTGTTGGTTTCCTCAGCGTATGGCCAATCCATCTCCATTTCTTTCTGCCTATTTGTTTCACAATCGGTTCCTGATTGGTTCGCTCCCAGAGATCCCTGTTGCTGATCTTTTATGGCCATCTGATCTTGAGTATTGAGCGGAGCCAATTGGTAGACATTAATTTACGTCAACGTCTAGGTCACTAATATTGGCTGTGAGAAAATATGAACAAGGCTGATTCAACAACCATTCACAGCAGACTTAACGTGGGCAAATAAGATTCGCAAATATATGGCTCAACTTTCCGAGAAACCAGAAATAAACAATCAGAAGACTATGTTTGTCTGCTTGAATAAGCTATAATAATGTACATGAAATATAAATAAATACGTGTTGATTTCCGTAATAAAAGGATCTGTTGCCGGCCCTTGTCTTCTGATGTTACAATATCACTCATGAAGAAATTTAAATCATTTCAATTTATGCTAAAAATTGCGCTGAAGATGTTGTTCAGAAAGGTGGAGGACGAAAGCTCCACAACTAAACCAACCAGCTCAGAGAACACTATTAATTGCAAATCATCCACCTGAGCAACAAATCTTCTCTAATATTTTGAAATCGTATTTTATTTTGCTGCATCAAGTGTGAAATGATAATATTTATGAAAAAAAGACAGTCAGCTGATCACTAGATACAAATATGTATAGATAGTTTCCCGATTAATTTTTAATAATCAATTTGTACCTGTCACTTTTATCTAGAATTCTCCACTTAAATAAATTTTTCAACAAGTCAACTGTTGGTGAATTTGGCATATTAGCCTCCCGTGATCAGATCACACTTTTACTCACATTGTAATCCGCATATGTGAGAATAGTAGCATATTAAGTGTGTGCTACAATACGCCAGATCAATTTAGTTCACATAGTCTGAATAGCAGTAATTTTATCTTTTTCTTGTTAGGATTAAGGATAGAAGCTGAGCTTCAAAGCAGCGAAGTTCCTCTCCTTATCCTTATATTAATCCAAATGAAATCACTCTATCAATCCACTGTTACAAAAGGTCATATACACATATCTAGACATAGTTGGACGATCTATTTAACTGCAACAATTTTTTCCATTCCTTCTGTTTGAAGCTCTGAATATTCAGTAGCGGTGATATGGCTTTAAACGGTAGAGTCAGTCAGCCTTCCCTGTTTTTCAAGCTTACCACCGGCTAGGTGACATTTAGGAATGCCCTGGAGAGAAATCGAACCCAGACCACCTGCGTGGCTTACGAGCACCCTACCACTGAACCATCAAAGTATAACAGTAAAAGTGATTTGGATGAAACGCGAAATGGATGGATGTACATGCTATTGGCAGTGAGCAATATTTATTGGAGAGATTAAAGGATGCACTGGAGACACAACTCCGACCAGAACAAGCTGGATTCAGGAAAGTCAGGCAAATCATGTACTGACCAAATTGCAACTCTACGCATCATCATCGAACAAAGCATGGAATGGCGATCAAACCTCTACCTCAACTTCATAGACTTTGAGAAGGCCTTCGACAGCGTTGATCGTGAAGTAATTTGGAAATTACTCGAGTACTATGGCGTACAGTGCCCCAAATATTCATCAACCTTATTCAACAGCTGTACGACAACGGCACCTGCCAAGTGATCCACAACGGAAGACTCAGCGAGGCGTTTGGAGTAAACACAGGAGTCAGACAAGGGTGCTGGCTTACTATCACCAATGATATTCCTAATTGTGGTGGACTGACTGGATTATGCGTCAGACAGTGGGAAACGAGAAGACAGGAATATCCTGGACCGACCGACGTGGAGAACCTAGAAGACCTGGATTTCGCGCGTGGATGATTTATGTTTGATGTCACACACAATCGAAGACTTACTAGCGAAAACCGACAAACTGGTCGAAGAAGCAGCTGGCGAAGACAGGACTCCAGGTAAACATAGACAAGACGGAGGTTATGAAAATGACCAACCAACAACAGCAACAACATCCAACGTCAATCACCATCAACGGGAGGGATTTGAAAGAGGTTACTTCATTCATTCACTCATCTAGGGAGCATTGTCTCAACTACAGGAGAAGCGGACGAGAATGTCAAATCGAGAATCGGGAAGGTGAGAAACACATTCATCAACCTGAAATCAATCTGGAAATCTTCGTTACTCAGCATCAACAACAAAATCCGTTCGGATTTTCAATACAAACGTAAAGTCAGTCGGTTCTTCTATACGGATCAGAAACTTGGCGGGTCACAAAGAATATTAACAAAAGGCTGCAGACCTTTATTAACAACTGTCTTCGCTCAGTACTGAATATCAGATGGCCGGAAAGAATCACCAACAAGGAATTATGGGAACAAACAAAGCAAGAACCAATCGCCCAACAAATATGCAGGAGAAAGTGGAGATGGATCGGACACTCGCTGAGGAGACCGCTGGATGACACCGCGCGTCAAGCCCTCGAGTGGAACCCGAAAGGGAAGCGGCGTGTTGGACGTCAGTGTAAGGGTGACATGGAGGAGATCGTGTGAAGAGGAGTTGAAATAATATGGATTCACATGGATGCAGGCGAAAAGTATAGCAGAAGACAGAAGAAAATGGAGACGTGCAGTTGAAGCCCTATGTTCCACTAGGAACCCAAGGGAACAATAATAATAATAATATTTATTGTGGATATTTGTCGGAAGATATCGCTTGTTGAGACAACTTCGTCGTAAAAGTTTCCGACATAATCAGAAGCCTGATCGACTATGATTATTATTATTGTTATAGGGGGTTCAATATTACATCTCTACATTGTCGTATTCTCTGTAGTCCTTTTCAGCTGGTCCCTTTAGTTTCTCACCTGATCTCCTCCGTGTCGCTCTCGGACTTACTCCCAACTCATCGTTTCTCATTCGGGTTCTACTGAAGCAGTGGCCTGGTGCAAGATGTCATCTGATGATCTCCTCAGTGTGTGTCCTATCCATTTCCACTTTCTTCGCAATGTTTGCCGAGCAATATGTTCTTGGTTGGTTGGTTCTTGCTATTGATTCTTCCTTGCCAGCCAATTGATCATCAATATGGAGCGAATGCAGCTGATTATAAAAGTCTGTTGGAAACCGCAAAGTTATTGTTTATGCTGAGGAGTGCAGAAGATTTTCAAACTGATTTCAGAGTTATGGAGGTCTGGTGCTGGAATCCTCACCTATGCCGACTGCCTGTAGCTGAAATGCTGCTGCCTAGATAAGTGAAGGAAGTGCCCTCTTTCAAATTTATTCCATCGACAGTGATTAGTACTTGTTGTTGTTGTTGGTTAGTCATCTTCATCACCTCCGTCTTCTCTATGTTCACTTGATGTCCTGTCTTTGCTGCCGGCATCTTCTGACAGTTTATTGGTTTCTGCCAGTAAGTCTTCAAGTTTATGTGACATTAGACGTAAATCATCCGCGACATCGAGATCTTCCTAGATTCTTCTTGTCAGTCTAACGTATTCCTGTCTTCTGCCTCCTCATGTAGGTTGTGTGGCATAATCCAGTTCGCAACAGTCAGAAATATCATCGTAGGTGATAGTAGGCAGTGTCAGATCAACTATGACAATGATTACATAATCACACATACATTTCACCTTGCTATCTCCCTAATCTAATAATCTTCATTCTCTTTGGGTTTTTTTTTCTTATCACTTGTATTATGTGCACAACACACTTACTGAGATGACTGATCACTCATTATCTCTCATCAAACGATATCGACTCACCGCTTATTCAGTTATTAGTAATCGGTTGTTTCGTCTTGGTATGAATTAGATGCCTCTGAGATTGTAAACTGCTTAACATTTCTAGCTGATTGGTGCCACAGGATTTCATCATGAGTTGGCATTGGTTACAGAACCACTGGAAAACCTAGGAGTACCAGACAATCGTTTCATCTTAGTTTGGGACCTTTCGTCAGCCTGCACCCAACCGCCAGCACCTTTCGGTTACAAGACAAGCCGATGAATTCCACCTTCTTCCGACTCACGATACAGTGCAATCACAAAACAGCTGTCCAGTACTCCCTGGTGGGTTTCCCAATGGTTCTCTAACCGATATCAACTCATGATGTAATTCTGTAACCAAATAAATTAAGATCCCGCAAACCAACACTTGAATTTCTAACTGATACTGTACAATATCACCTAAATAATCCATCTGATACATAACTTCTCTACTAGGATAAACATTCTTTATTGAGGCTGATGACTGATGCCAGAAGATCAATTTCATGTTGAAAGTATCACAAGTTTTATTAATTTAATGCTATAACCTCGTCAGACGGTGAGTTAGGAGCGAAGAGACAAGAATACGCTGGACCATGGGTAAGAAGACTCCAGAAGATCTGGATGCGTCGGTGGCACAGTGGTTAGGACTCTCGCCGACCATGCACATGGTTTGAGGTTCGATCCCCTGCCGACGCACACCTGATATCTATAGTTGGCCTGCAAAATTCGGGCTACCGATATCCATGCTGAAAATTCCATACTTGTAGCAAAAATACAGTGTGGAATCAAGCTGTAATCAAAAATAAAATAATTTCGCAGATGACATATGTCTAATGTCACACAAACTCGAAGACCTGCAGGTGAAAACCAACAAACTGGCTGAAGAGGCGGCTAGCGGAGACAGGACTGCAGGTGAACATAGAGAAGACAGAGGTGACGAAGATAACCAAAGAACGGCAACAACAACCACTAATCCCCATCGACGGGAGAGATTTAACAGAGGTTACATCCTTCATTTATCTGGTTAGAAAGCACGGTTTCGACCACAGGCCAGCGGAACCGATGAAAGTGCCAAAGCCAGCAAGCCAGTGAGAATCAGAAAGGCAAGATACGCTTCCATCAACCTGAAACCAGTTTGTAAATCTTCTGCACTAACTCAGCCACCCAGCCAGCATAAACAACAAGATTCGGATACTACTCAACACCACTGTCAAGTCCGTCCTTCTATACGGGTGAGAAACTTGGCCAGTGTGTCACGAATAAGATTTCCAACAGGTTGCAGGCTTTCATCAAGAGGTGCCTTTGCTCCATAATGAAGATCGAATGACCGGAAAGAATTAGTAAAAAGAAACTGTGGGAACAAAGCAATCAAGAGTCGATTGCCCAAAACATTTGTAGGAGAAAATGGAGGTGGATCGGGCATATATTAAGGAAACCGACAAATGACATCACCCTCAATGCAGGCCATTGCTCAAGTGGAATCTCAATGGGAAACAGCGAGTGAGAGGTGAGTCCGAAGGTGACATGAACGAGATCGTGCGTCGAGGAAATAAGAGATTATGGTCAATCGTGATACAGGCAAGACGAAGAGGACAGCAGAAAATAGAACGTATTGGAGGTGTGTTGTTGAAGCCTTATGTTCCACTTGGAACCCAAAGGAATAATACTAATCTAGTATAATAATGTTATAACCATCTTATGAAATCATCAAGTGACATCAATAGACAAGCCCTCCAGTGGAACCCGAAAGGGAAGCCGCGAGTTGGTCGTCCAAGGGTGACTTGGAGGAGTTCATGTTAATAGGAGATGAAAGAATGTGGGCAGACTTGGAGCGGGGTGAAAAAGTTGGCAGAAAAAAGAAGGCAGTGGAGATGCACAGCTGAAGCCCTATCTTCCTCTAGGAATTAAGGGATATAATAATAAAATAATAATAACCATCTGAAGTTATTGCTGACAGTTTAATAAAGAGATGAATGCTTTTCTTTTTTATTTCCTTCCTACTCCAGCTCTTCTTAATGCCTCGCGTAAAGGTACAACTGAACATCATATTCGATCCTTATTGAAAGCTGGAGCTAGTATACAAGCAATAGATAAATATGGAAGATCATGTTTACATTTAGCAGCTAAATTTGGTCGAGATAAAGTTGTTGAATACCTTTTAAAGTATTGTAAGTAGATATTTGAATAATTCTAGCTTATATTTCTTTACTTTTCTTTTCTTTTTCATATTCACTTATTTAAATAATTACTGACTATTGAAATTTGTGATGGATCAGTTGCTACTAGGATAACGCATCGATAGGGACGTATGAACATTCCGTATAGTAGTGATATTCTTTAATGACAACTCTGTTGTCACTCACTTAAACAAAATTATACGCCACTGATGAATTGCCAAACAAAGTGAAACTTTATTAGATAGATGGTTGGAGGAAATCAGCGGTAGGAAGGCCAACCTGATCTAAGTTTTGTACTTGTTAAGGCACTTACCAGTCAGTAAGGCGTATCTGCAATGTCTTGGAGGAACTCATGTCCCTTTTGAGATTCCAGCCCGTGTCATCCAGAACTGCAGTCAGTTAAAGACATGTCACTACTAAAGTATTCTGACTAGCGATTGACTCCCTGTAGGACTGACTGACTGTATTGGATACTTTGCTGACTGCTGGGTGAGCGCCGACAACCACGAAACCTAGTTCAGAATGGGCTTCCTTCAGATTACCTCCAGTCAACTAAATAATAGCAACAATCCTGAGTGCACCGTAATGCTGAGCCACGTAGCATGATGGCTACATTGTAAACTTGACTGGTAGAATTCAGTCTGCAGTAAACAAAAGATTAGACGGACAATACTAACTGCTAACTAGTGCCCAATTAAAGTGAATTCCATTGTGATATTTTATTCTATAAAGTGAATATTGAGCATTAAAAATGAAAACTACGAACCAACATCAGTCTGAAAGGACACTGACAACCAGGGAGAAGTAGACAGTTGCTTCGTCCTATCGTAGGACTCTTCAACAATTCCCAGCCACGACATCACCACCGAGGATCAAAACCTGGACCGTCAAATCACAAGACCACGTTCATTGACCACTCAGCCACTTGGGCTGGAATTCAACGAGCTATGGATTCTAAATTTGCCAGTTAGTGATATAGTTCTACTCTCATCTGATTCACACTTACAATAGTGGACATGCTATCCAGTGCTCCTTGGAGGTTTTCAATGATCTCCCAAACTGATTTTGTTTTGTAACGAAATCTAACAGCTGAAATTAAACTACAGGATTTCATCATGAACTAACGTCGGTTAGAGAACCATTGAAATACCAGCTGAGAGTACTGGACAACTGTTTCGTCAGGCTAGTCTGGGACTCTTCGGCAGTACGCACCCACCTCACTGGAGGGGTTCGAACCCAGGACCTTCTGGCTACAAGGCGAGCTGGCCCGTAGACCATGAAGCCACTGGGACCCGACCCAACGACCAGCCCATGAATTCCAATTTCAGCCCATTCAGAATACAGTACAGCCACTAGCCGATGGCAACACTGGAGACTGTATGTATCCTAACTCCCGATGTTCTGTATCCCACTGGTCACGAGATCTCACTAGAGCCTAGCCAGGTAACTACCTAACTGAATAGGTAGCGCAAGTTGAAATTAAATCAATCCAAATCCCACAATCTAAAGATCTAGGTAATAAGAGACTATTGAACAAAATCAATAGGCATAACATTATTCTAATGTTAGTGTTGCATTTATTGCTACACTGACAGGTGGAACTGATTTATGTGTAATAATTTAATCTAATAGGCATGTAGAAAAGATATCATATTTAAAGTAGAAATAAATCTACTTTATTTTATTTTGGCTGATGGTGACTAGCGTAGGAATCCAAAATATGGATTTCGTCCGATTTGGGACTCATCAGATGGATGTACGCACATATTTCGCATTTGATTCAATGCATTAAAAGTTCACTCAAGTAGTCAACTAGAATTTGGGTGGTTTGAACTGATTTAGCTCTCCAGACTGGGTTTACTGCTGATCAGCTCAGCCGTGAACGGGAGAAATAAATAGTCATCCGATTAGTTTAGATTCCTTTGATTTGGCTGCCCATCAAGCACTACTAGTCAATGTGATTAGCATCCAACTAACCATGCCAACCAATCAGTCATATATGTTGCCATGCTTTCTGATATGTATCCACATACATATATTTATGTGTGTGTGTATGTTGGTCTCTCTTTCTGTTTGCTCTCTTAGCCTGTGACCACTTCACTTGTATGAACTTGTCTCCTTTAACAATGTATATTCCCCTTATATTATATATAATATGAGTGTTTGTTGACAGTCCGTTGCTTAGTGACATATATCCATATATGGTTGTTTGACATGTCTGCTATATATATTTTGTTATATATATATATATCGTTCACACATTCTGTGTGAACTACTTTACTTACTTACCACTTTGGTGTGAGACCATTTTATTTTCGTCTCCTTGTGTTTGGACAATAGAAGTATCATCACAAACCTAGTGGTCTTCTGATTTCCGCCTTTTTGCGTCAGGACTATTAAATTCTCGACCAGTCCATAAAATTAATTTAGCGACGAGTACATAACAATTTGGCGACGGGGTAACTAGAACATAACAATTTGGCGACGGGGAACTAGTACATAACACATTCACTGCACAATATTGTATTATTTTAGGCTTCATTCAAACCCTGAAGCTGATTACAGTAGAACACTTGGACGTTGTCACATAAAAGCTTGCCTTACCAATGAAGCATATATAGTTTGATATGAGGTATACCAGAACACAATTCACGCTAGATAATAAGTTGTTTCATGAAATCACTGTATCCTGTTAGTCTGTTTATTCCCATCTAATTTGTAGTGGATAAACATTGCTTGTCTGCATACCTTATAGAATGTAAAAATAGATAGTAGAATTACTGTCTAAACTCTCATTATCCTACTGTGTATAAGACAAACAAATGTGATATCAATCTGTATTTTACGCCATAATTTTACTTGAAATTCAAGGCTGATACAATCTGAATGAAAAGGAGTATAACCATTTAAATGCTCATTCTTATCTTATCTGACGACCAACTCATTTCACTTCGGGAGATATTGAAAAACTAGCGAGTAAATTATGGTTGGCAACGTCTCAATTTGAGACGTTGCAGCAGTATGCGCCTATGACCCCTCCCCGCCCCACCGAAGTTCGAACCCGGAAACTTCAGGTAACAAGGCAGCCTAATTGACCACTAAGCCACTGGGACGAATCCAATCGTGGAATCAATTCTAACCTCTTCCAATATGCGTCAGTCTCATCTATGACTATCTGTCTGTCCGCACACCCAACTTGGTGGACTCTACTAATCACGACTTCTCGCATTAGAGACTGAGGCTACATCATCCTGTAGTCAGTAGTGAGTGACTAGGATGGAAAAGACTAATTTGCAATGCTTCACTAACTGAAGACAATTTGTGATTCATCAAATCCCTACAAACATATACTTAGAAAATAGTGACAAGCATATACTCACTGAACCTTTTTTAATGAAAATTAATATTTCGATACTTTAATTCATCTTTGTAACATGACAATGTTTAAATCAAATATTTGTTGACTTTGTCTAGTTCCAACGGAATTATTGGATCTACAAGAATATGAAAAGTAAGTATACCTCATTATATTTTCCTTCGTTGAACTGTCTGAGTATATATTGCAATATGTAATCCGTTTGATACACTATGAATGATAGCTGGACTATGCGCTACATTAACAGGGTTCCATATAAAGTATCAAGGCGATTTCAGCACGACTCGGATAACCAAAACTTGTAAACACCTAGAAGTCTACTTATCCACTTGACGAGGGAGTGTTGACGAACGAACGGAATCACATCAAGTGCTTGCAAACTCTGTTACCTAAAACAAAGATTTTGCCGGAAATTTTGGAAAGCGAGAACTGATTCAACTCTTTGATGTCGACCACCAATGGATTTACTATCCAGATCACTTTCAAAAGGGTGAAAAAACTGTCTAGTGTTTAAATTTCCCTGACGAGGCTAGCAAACAGTATTGATTGGTGCGTAGTGGTTAATAATTCACATCATTTAGAAAAAGTTAAAGATAAGATCACCGATAATTAATAGTGTAAAATGGTATGACTGAGAATTTGTCATCACTAGTGCTGATGCACTTCTGCTTAATTTTTAGTCTTAATTACAATATTGTATATTGAGTTATTATCGTTCCCATCCTTCGTCACGCTATTAAATATGAAAGCCATTTTTAAGCTGTTATACATTAAAACCACTATCTGAAATAATGCATCAGTGGTCCAGTGGTAGAACACATACCAAACGCGCACGTAGTTCAGGGTCCGATCCCGGGCTAACACACATCAAAGCCTCGCTTAACCAGCAGTAAGCCGCGTTAAGAGAGAAGGTTTGGTAGGAGACTAGCAACACCCTTGCTACAGCAACTTCAAAGTTCAAGTTTGAGTCTCTATGTTTCACCCTGAAATAATAGAGATTTGCAACTCAGGCGGAAGATTTTGATGTGGTTTTGTTCCTGATATGAAGTCTATTCTGTACTGTGAGTGTTGCTCAGAAAGACAATGAAAGCTTCACAAATAAACAAATCACTCGAGTCACACAACAAACAAATCAAAATACCACTATCTATATTGGGACAACTGTGACTTAGATTTACACCAATTAGTTCGTCCCCATGATTCTACTATCACAGATACCACTGAAGTTGAAACTAAGTTGAATGTCTAATCTTCCCATATCGCTTCAGTTTCTAGAAAGATACTCCGCTTAACGTTCTATGTTAGGAAATTAAGACAATCTGGTATCACTTCATCTCTACAGTCATAGTTTGTTAATTCTTGTATCCTACTTATTCGTCTTTATTGTTCCCCCAGCACTTAATTTGCCTTAGGTTACTAAAGAAAGACTTTGATTCACTGAGGGCACAAAAAGCTATCAGTAGGACAATTCAGGTGTCGTCAAATCAGCTTGTTACTACTGTTGTTAGTAATATCTCGTCGGACCGTAAGTATCCTCTCTATACACAACTCAACTATACGAGACTATGATTGAACGACCAGGTATAAAATCTCTACGATACTTTATTTGGCACATACTGTATGTAATGAGAAAAGTGTAAACCGTGACACTACCAACTTACTAAGAAACACTAAGTCAATGACCCTTTTATTATCCTTCCTTTCATTATTTATTCTACTGTGATCAATATTTTCACTCAAATTATAAAACCGATAGCCATATTCCTATGGAAAAATATTAACAATGCAGATGCACTGTTCAATTATTTCCTCCTGTATTATGTAATGAGAAAACTAGATGTGATATTGTATTACACGATGAAAACTCCATAACGCATCGAAAGTTCCATTTGAGAGAAAGCCATTATTTGAATAAGGCATTTAGAAGACAAATTTCACGAGATATTATCTTCAGTTCGTAGTTTCTTTACAACCGCTTTACAACTAACATGGTTAACAATAATAAAATAAAGCTCATGACAATTACTCAGTTATATAAAAAAGTACATACTAATGACCAAATCATATTTAAATAGGTCAAGCAGTCCATGGCAGGCGGAGGTTGAAGTCTACTGTTTTTTTTGTACACACAGTTTAGGCTGTATGTGATTAATCCCCCGAAGTGCTTCCATCACCTTCAGTAACCTTGAATTAGAGTTATGTGTTGAAATAATTGTGAAACAGTCATTAATATTGATTTCGTGCTTTGCAATGGGTGATGTTGGATTTCTATTCAGATTAATTGCATTGAGATTTTCTATATGTTTTAATAACCATTTTGGAAGATGTTCTTTTCGACGACATTGGAATTTTCTATTGGTTCTACGTATATAGGTGTCCCCGCAACTGCAAGGTGAAGTTGTAGATACAGTTTGAAGTAGAGTCAAGAGAATTTCCTCCTTTAATCGTAAGTACACCAATTGATAATGTTCGGCGTGTGAGAGAAAAAGATGCAGTGTAAAATGTGTGTTTGATAGCTGACCGAGGTCTTTGAGCTGTCAACTGCATAATCTGGTCACCCTTGAATGGTAGGTTAATAAAGATAGCTTTCTTCGGTACAGAAGCTATTTTTTCTAGATGTGATCTATCCTTACTGTGACAACTGACAAAGTTGTAAAGAAACTGCGAAATGATATCATCTCGCGAAATTTATCTTCTAAATGCCTTATTCAAATTTATCAAAGCCATTATTATTATTACACTATTTCGACAGGCACTTGGACTCGTGTGAAAAATGGGCTAAGTCCATTTTATCTAACTCACACCACCCTCTTCATTCACAACTCTCCCCTTGTATCTCATTAGGCAAAACCAGGAGCCTATATAGAAAACTATATGCTCGCACCAGCAAGTACAAAAACTCAACCATACCCTACTTGCCTCGTGTTCTGTGCGATAAAGAAAGCATTAGGCGTGAAACTCATAACTTACTAAATAGTCAGTAAAACAAGTGGATCTCGACTTTCCAACTCATATCATTTATAGGTACGTTTTTCTTTCTTTCCTTTCCTTTTCTCCCTCTCTTTTTGTGTTGTTATGTGCTGCTTTGTTTCTCTCTTCATTGCGAACTCTATTTAAAACATTCTTCTTCGTTCTTTCACACTGTGTATATTTCAACCTTTTTGTTACCGCTTACGTCAGTAAATGTGCTAGCATCTACTCTGTTCAATTTTGGCTTTGCTACCGACATGCTAATATATTGTTATCAAAACTAACTGAGATTACCCTTAACCTATGTAGAATTTTATTTATTGTTAATATACAAACTGGATGCGCAATACTGTAGTGAAATGCTGAAAATTCCATTCTGTATCACAAGTACTGTTTTGGAATAAAGCAAATTATTATTCATATGAAATGTGATCAAGATTTGACCGGATAGTTGCCAACAACATCCTAGCGTATGGAGAATAGCATTCATCCGCATACTAGGAAAGGAAATCAAGAGACATTTCAGGAGTATATACTTGAGTACTAATCAGTTATTTAAGTGTATATAAATATATATATATAACAAGCACTTTTTTTCTGGTATGTCAATTTATTGAATAACACGCTGCAATGATGACATGATTTTGCGTATATTTTCAGAAACCAAACAGCACTACACAAAGCTGCAGCAACTCGTCGAAGAAGTATATGTGAAAATCTTATCAGCGCTGGAGCTTGTCCAACTATAGCTGATATTCACGGGAAACAACCGAGTAGTTTAGCACTTGAAGCCAATGACCCACAATTAGCTACATATCTAAGAAGTAAGTTAAGCATTTAAGTCAACTTAAAAAAATCCTCTCTAACTTTTTTCCCTTTTCTTTTCTTTCTTAGGAGAAGAAATACTCTTTCTTATCGCGAATAGTAGTCAAAAGATTGAAGTATGAAAAATGGATGGTTACACCCCAATTTAGTGTGGTATATACTACTTAATCATAAAAATGCCTGAAACAATTCCTGTGATACTTATTTAGACTGAAGAAAAAATCACATTTTGTCACTGAAGTTTTGTTTTTGTACTACACAAATTTACTTACTTAATATAATATATATACATACTGATAGATATATTGATTTGTTAACTTTTCATAGCTGCGTCACGCACACAAACACACACACACACAAGATAGACCACATAGCGACAGGGTATCGTTGGCGAGGATCAATAGAAGACTGTGTATCCTCTTGGAACACGTGCGTAGACTCTGGTCCGCGCACGTTTATGCTTATAACTAAACGGTCATAAGAAATTGTAGACAGTGAGACAGTTACGTCCTCAACTAAATCGAGACACTGAGTCCCTCCCTACTTAAGGAAGCGAAATAGCGAAACGAGTGTCTGAAGTTGACAGCACGACTTCCCCTGAAGTAGCCTGGCACAACATACAGTTAGCTGTAGACACAGCTGTAAAACCTGTTAATAAGCTAAAACCAAAAGTTAGTAAGAGCCATTGGATCTCTACTGCCTCATCCGAACTGAGTAACGCAAGAAGACTGATTCCGGCGAGCTCTGATTTTGATAAGGAGCGAAAGCTACTCAAACGAAAACTAACAAGAAGTCTTCGCAACGACCGTGAAAAGTGGTGGGTGACAAAAGCGAAAGAGATAGAAAAGGCATCGGCGATTGGTAACACCAGGAAACTATTTCGGCTTATCAGGGAAACAGGTGGTAAAAGGCAAAAATGATAAGTGAAACAATCTCTGACAAAAATGGCACCATGATTAGCTCCCAGGATCGACGACTGGAACGCTGGAAAGAACACTATGAGGAGCAGTTTAGTCAGTGATATGGCTCAAAATCGTCCTCAATATCTGGTGCAGATGCATCCACTCCTTGTGACTTATGATTTCCAATGAAACTACATTGTTCTTCGTTATTAATATTCCTTTGTCACACACCTCTGTTTACTGTGTCTATTATACATTTCTTTTACTTCCTTCTCTTGCTTTGTGTGCTACATGGAAGGAGTGTGGCGACTTGAACTGATGCACATCGGTGCAAAGTTCTATGTCGAAAACAGACAGAGACACAACTGAATCTCGTGAACCAAATATTTTAGTTCTGTTACGCATGTAACCTGGTATCTTCATTAAAAGCAGCAAAATTTAATTAATCTGACTGACTGGTTTCAACACAGAACTTTCCAAAGAAGTGCAGCAGTCCGAGCTGCCACATCCCATGCAGAGGAAGACAAGAGAGCAAAAAAGAGATTCGAAAGGATAACAGTGAACAGAAACGTAAGGGAAAAATAATAGAGTTCCATAGGTTGTGGAAGATCACAGAGAGCGAATGCATCTGCGCCATTGATGAAGACTTGGATACATATCAATAATTTCCTCCAAACATTGGTTCCTACCATCCTGAGGACCCTAACTACGTGGTAGTCTACACCTACCGATGTGACTGCCTCAAACTAACTATTAAAAACTTCATAGACCGATGCCATGTTTTCATTAGACTACCTATCAATAGCTACTTTCGAACCTAATCCTATGTCAGCAAATATCGCCCGTCGGCGGAAGCGGTGGCTAGATATGCACAACATATGCCCTAGACAACTCAAACCATGTAACTTCATAACATCACATCGGTTGACATTCCCTTCTTATCTAACACTCGATGATTAACCTCAATATTACTCACTCCATTATACCACCTAATATGGGAGAGAGAACTCCAACCAACCGTCGCAGACAGCTAACTTTTCTATATTTTCCATTTCCAGCCATAAAAGAGGACGGAGCGAACTGATGGACAGTACAAGAGTCTTTTGATTGACAGCAGGATATCACACCTACATCAGAGATGATGTAGGTTGGCAAATGACACACGAGCCTTCTGTGTCTGTGGTGGGATTTCGTCAGTGAGCAACCTGTTGGCACTGGCTGATGCAACTTACAAAAATGAGTGAAGTGGTCAACACGCTCAGTAACCACTTAACTTAACTATCTTAACGCTAGGATTCAATTTAGTCCGGTCCTTTGGCATCATCTTACATTTGTCGGGAACGAATCGCATACCAAACATTCGAAGGTTGCAGCTCAGCACAAGGTGTTCAGAAGACTCTGCATTTTGTCAGCAACTTCACCTCATCTAGAAGGACTATATCACCTGCATATTCTAAGTTAACGAGATTATAACCTGGTAACAAGTCCATCCCTGAGTCGTTGAAGTCAGTTAGGGTTAAGTTCATAAATATATTTATGATGAGATTAAACAGAAATGGGAGCAGTGGGCATCCCTGACAGATAGACTGGTCACTATAAGCAGCAAAGTGTAACTGATCCACTTCAAGAAATGACCATCAAGAATAACACAAAACGACTGAATCTCTATTATCAATAAACTGTAGCTGAACTAGGGGTAGTTAAGTGACCAATTCGTACGCCATCAATAACTTGGTACAAACAATAAATAATGATAGTAGAAGAAAATTATTTCGTCTGACTGTTCTATTTCATCTGCTTACTGATAGAACGGTTAAGAATCGACGAATACATCGCATACCTCAACTATCTGAGTACAGTTATTCATAGAACCAGAGGAAACTAACAGAGAAATGACACATCGTGAAAGTTCCAAGGTTAGAAAAGAATGAGACAAGAATAAGGAAATAAATGAAAAAGAGAAGTAGCGCATCTCACTAACTTAGTGAATGGTCTCAAAATAGTTACATGCGATTAAAAAATCGCATCAAGTCCTCCTTCAAATAAGTTATCAGTTTTTAGGCGATTAGGAACTTCAGGTTAGCCATGACATGAAATGCTTCCGGGTAGAATTATATATCAAAGGCCCATTCCAGGCATCTGTGTGAAGCACTTCCCCCGACACACGCATTCCAGTCTACGGACTTCACTTTAAAGCTATGAATGTAGAATTCGACCCCCCCCCCTTATGTATAACCAGGTTTAGTCAGCCAGGGTGTATCGCCAGCCTTCACACAACATATATATAAATCCCTGGCCACTGTATAAATGCAAGAGGTTAGATTGTGATCCCACCAACAGGCAACTTACTCGGTAAATCTTGTCAAGCTATCATACACATCAGTAAGCATTCAACCGCCCAAAAAATGGAATTTATCGGCAGCGACCTCATAAAGAAATATATACCCATCTTTAGTACTCATAAAAGACTAGCGAGAGATTTCCTTCGAAATGCTGACTTGTTTATGCCAGATCACACAACTAATGACAAACTACCCCATTGGTAAAGGACTCTAATTGCACGCGGAAATAGTCCCTGAGCTTGTCTGAACATGGAGAAAACCACAGATCCTGTCAACTAAATACTGAAGTTGTTTTTTTGCAGAATAGAAGTTATGTTAGTCCGTATCATTAAATGTGTCCCGTAGTTCCGTATGCAGGATCCCTTTGAGATGATAATTCACGAACTTCAGGACAGACCTTTATAATAAGCGGCAAAGCAAATTGCAGTATGAAACTTCAAGAAACATCCAAGGATTGCCTGTACATTTTGGATAAGGCTTGCCTGGTTCAAAGGCCTCAACCTTCTGCTACAAGGTTTTTTGCAGCATATGACACTCCCTACGGTTCTTAAAGATAGTAATTTGCCATACTTGTCATGGTCAGTCGAATCTTCACGAGGTTTATTGCGTTGACAGTTCCGTTGACCAGTCAAAAAGTCAAAAGCACCAATTGAACAGTGGAACACTGCTTCGTAACACTAACGCGCTCAAATCATGAAAAAACCGTCGAAGTTTTTCCAACTCTTTCATAAAATGACCTATTTACCTATGAAAATTCAATCCGCAGATTAACAGTTACTACATTTACAGAAATCACCTCACCCAAGCAAAAAATTCTGTTACATGTGTTCCAACGATCGTCTTCACAAATCTGCTTCACTGATGTAAAAAGGGACTGCAGAACCCCCCTCCCTGAGATACAGTTAATACCTACATTTACACATAACTACAAGTAGATCTCGGAATCAGTGACTTAATTGCTTTTCACTTCGCAAATTTTACTCATTAGATGAATAAGAATCTGACTGTGACTCGCAGATAAGCTAATCTATACACGAATTTCCGGTGGCTGATTAGAATATGTTATTGTAAAAATGAGTCTCGTCTCTGCAAAGGAGTTTGTTTCATAAAGAATTCTAGGTAACGAGTGAAAGAAGGCAGTGATACTCAAAAACTATTGACAGAACCAAACAGTAGTCAGAGGAAACAGATGGAACAGAAACTACGGTTTTCTAGGGCAGGGGAGATCACAAAGGGTATTATCTCACTACCTTCGTTGTGGACACCAATTACATAATTTTAAAACATATCGTTAAATGCAGAACTCAGCATTCTTTGGTCCTTATTGCCCCAAAACCTACCCTCCCTCCTAATCGATTTTTGACATACTGTGACGCATGACCCTAACTCCTTGCTACTGGCATCTTGGTACCCACGAATACAGTTTCACAAATGGAAGGCCTTGGTACGAAATGTGAAATTACTCAAAATATGCACTGCTTAAATGAGAACAGAGGCGCCAAAATCTGTGTAAAAGTATACTGAAACAAATAAATGCCTTGACAAAACTGCTCAGTGGTGATAATAGAATAATTATCTATAACAAATGTCCGTAATTCGATTGAATCATCGGTATCCAGGAGGAGGTGGTGGTGGAGGTGGATATCCTCGGCCGACAGTCACTGGTGGCATTCCACGACCAAAAGCAGCAGCTGGAGGTGCACCTGCTGGAGGGGGTGGGGGCGGTGGCATTCCTGGCAGGGTGCGAGGCTGCATCAGGCCTGGTGCTGGTGCTCCAACTCCCCACACTGGCCCACCTAAACCAGCAGGCGGGATAGGAGCAATAGCTGCGGCAGGTGTGGCAAGAGGCATACCACGGCCAACTGCAATACCGGTCAATGGTTTCACCCCAGTTGCCCAACCACCAGCTGTAGGGAGTGGGACACGTGCAGAATCCTCAGGAGGTGGAGGACCATCGACATTCATGGTTACCTAAAAAGAGGATAAAAGTTATGGTAATTAAACTTTCCGTGAGAGAAAAAAAAGCAACTTGTGTGTTAAAAATACCCATGCAAGCAGCACACCAACAGAAAATGAACAAAACACCCTTCAAAGTCAAAATATTGGCTTTATAAAATACTAGGAATCCTAAACCTCAAAACATGAAAAATCATCGATCAAGAACACTACTTATCCTGAGGCTTTTGACGAGGCATATTTATCTTCTGGATCACTATTACTGGATAGTCCCAACCTTGTTGTGTGAAATGGGGTTTCTCCTCGTAATTCCCTACCTGGAATTCGGTCACTTAAGGCAGCAAGCCTAGGCCCTGCCAAAATAAATTAGCTAAACTCACTGGTGAACTATTTCTTACTATTACATTTTTACAATATGTCAAACACGATTAACAACAAGACGAATCAAACACCAATATGAAGTCTAATATATGGTTTAACACTAACAAAAATCTGGAAACCCTGCAGATTTGTGTGCTAGGTAGTGAGGACACTGACATAAAAACGAAAAAGTCAAAACATATTCACTGACTGACAGACACACAAGTGCTTGGGTCGACAAACTACACTCGAATAGACTAGGTGGAGCCAGAACTTGAAAGTTCAGAGGCAAACCTAGCAGTTCTACTTCACTACGAAACAAAATACTTAGAGATGTAGTCTGTAAGTTTAAGCATGCAACTTTCACAGGTTTGAGTTCTGGGAAGTCAGCTAGTACCAGCAGTCTTTACTATAAACAAGGCCGAAAGTGAAGTGCATGCGGACGCAAACGGTTATTATTAACACTCCTTACTGCATAGAACACTCACCCGACCCAGTGACCGAATTCCATGGAAATAAATACATACTTAGTTTCCTCAGAGTAAGGAAAACATCACAAGCTTCGCCCGCGCCTAACGTTCACCCCCGATGACTTTGACTGCTGAGCGACATAACCAAGAATATAAGCATAACGCACATCTTTAGTTTATGACCGAATCTCACTCAGTAAATCCACAGAGCACAGAAGACTAAGCTGAGATATTTGCTTATATTCATATCGTTCATAAGTTGTCCGTAAATTTTAAACGTCTATAAACTGAATGTATCAAGGGAAACTTAAGGATAATTATGTCCACTTCTTGTATAATAAATGCTTTCCTAATGAATTATTGAACACATATGGTAAAAACACGAATTATACTACACATCCTGAGTCGTTTTACAGATTGAAATTCTTACCCTGACTAAATACTGAGTAGATAATGAAATGCAGTTTAGAATGCAGATCACTGAGCTACTTCAATCCGCTTCTGAGAACAAAAACTCAAATAACTCAACAGCCATTATTTCTACCACGAAACTATTATGGCTAGTAATGCGACCTAAAAAACTACAGAATCATGTGTATGATAGACAGTCAACTTAGATAAACACAAGAATGGATTACTTATTGTTAATTTAAAAGACTAATTTATATGTCGCCTGATGACCACACAAGAGCAATTCTACGAAAAGGATTATGTTTGTAACTGAACAACAAAGCATGAGATCACTGAATATTAGTCTGTCATAAAAGGCGATGCAAATTCCTTCATAGTCTCACCCGACAACCACGCCTATTCCTTAGATATCAAGTAACACACCAGAGTGGGGTACATTTTCAATTCGTCTCAATTTTGAATATGAAGGCGTTTGCACTATCATCATCAAGTAATCAGCATCCCAAATCATGTGTTGCATGGGACATAGGTAGACTTCTGAATTTAGGAATCACTGGTGTAGAGAGCGCCCATTAAGCAAGTTAACGACTCTCAAGTTGCAGAGGCAAATAATCCCCAAAAAATTGTGGGCTGACAGCTTTCAGCACACAATATTGGGGGGTTGACCACTGTTTAGGTTGACTGTGCAGTCAGGAATCCTCGCGATTTTTCACGTTGTTAAGTTTGGTTGCTTATACACGATATCCAATTAAGCGGACATCATTCCACATCACCTAGCCCCAAAAACACTTCTGGATGATCACAATGTTTGCTTCGGCAAAATGACTGTTATCTGATCATATCGAATACGCACGTTTCGATGACAGGCCTCCAAAGCCTCAGGATGGTCGGGGGTGGGTGTCTTGCGCTGCGGGTTGGCCACCCCTCCGCACACCTCTTGAAATGCTCCCATATGACCGTGCGTCTTACATAGCCTCTCCTGAGGAAGTCCTACTCACTGCCTTCACGTGGCGGAGGTGTTTTTCACCGAAGTGAGAGGGCAAAAGCGGATGCCCGGCGCTCTCCACCGGGTTGACTCCATTGGATGACAGTCTAGGGGAGATGGCTAAACCCTGATTCCAAACCTTCAACGACTGGCGTATGAAGCTCACCGGCAGACGTATGGACAAAGGGCTTGTTGGATGTCCTGGATGTCTGGCCCCATTCAAAAAGGCGTATGAACCGAACTCCGGTCACCGGCTGCCAATGGATAGTGGACTCCTTACTCCACTCCTACTGCCTTGTAGGTCACACTTGGCTGTGTAAAGGCTAGAGCTGCACTCTCAAACAAAAGGCCGAGCGATGCTGGGGACATCACTCGTACCAAATTCCCAAGGAACTTCATGAACTCGTTCATGAAGCCGGCTCATCCTCCCGTAGGAGATAGCCGAAGTAAAGTAAAAGTAAGTTTCGATGACAGATCTTTGTGCTGTCAATGTATCATATCGCCCTGCATGTTCGTAGTCATTCTCTATCTTCCAGGTCACAAATGCACAAACAAGCGTTGTGTTTTACCCGTACGCTTAGGTTTGACAGATAGATCGTGAAACAACCTTCACCGCTGCCTTGAAGTCTATCAAGGATAATCTTTCTTGCGTAATTTATCCCCGACTACACTTTTGGGGTCCAGATGAACTTTTTCCAAGGATTACTCTAGATTATGGATTGGACTGGATTTGGTTTCAAATGATGCTTGCAGAAAATCTCTCGAGGAAAACATATCGCTCAGCCATAGGACGCCGCATGAAGTCCACAAAAATTACCATAGCAAATGAATGGCAACAAGCATTTCTTGAGACTGCTCAAAAGTACGGTCCTTGCATCTGAATAACTTGACTTATGCGCTAGTAAAGCATTACGTTATCTAGTCTATGACCTAGACTTCAAAGACTGTTATTACTTGTCCGTAACTAGTGTAACACTTAAGACTATTAAGCGTGAGGTCGACAATCCGAAATGACCTTACTCTGATTAGAATGCCGTAAAACTGAGACATAGCCCCTTGAAATGCAATGCTTCAAACTCTAACTACCTGAGAACTCAGTCCAATAAAGTGTAGAGGAGCAATGCATACGTTAAGTAAGCACGCCCACAACAAGAGAACGCACGAATCTTGAGTAATATGACACATACACACACAGCCCATAACAAATGCATGTTACCAAGGTATACAAAAACCTAAATTTCCTATGAAAGCATATCAACTGTGCTACTACTTACGACGTGTTCTCCCCTCAGCAGAACAAGGCCCAGCGCGCGTTTCTCTTGACGATCCTTGTCCTGTTTAGCATCCTTCTTTTTAATTTGGCGAAACTCATCACAGTCACAAAGTATTATGTTCATGTGACGATCGAATGCCTTGAAAGTTCCAACAAGTTGTCGGCCATCCTGCATCGTACATCTCACACGATAATTAACGTGCTGACTAATTTTCGCATTCTTGGTAACAGGCTAAAGGACGGAAAAATAAGAATACACGCCAACTTACCATATTCAACTCGCACAAACCTAACCTACGACCTCCAACACGTCTGAACGCAGTTAAACAAAAGTACCCATCTAAAACAAAAAAGATAGCGTCATTATATATTTTCGTTTAGCGACTGTAGAAATTTAGTTTCTATAACGTATCACTTCCTCATTTCTTTGGAGAAGTCTTTCAAACTATTGCAGAATAGTTTCAGCTTAGACTTCTTCCCGAAAAGTATCACTATTATTCCCCACCTTCTAAAGTTCTTCGGGAATCCTTTCGAAGTTGTGACCAACACTTGGATTCTAGCCACAGTATCTCATATATATATATATATCCAGAGAGGATTTCATACCTATCTTATAATGGCTTCAAAACTTCCAGTGAAACTACACTATAGAGATCCAAATTCCAGATGCATGCCTAGAAGTATGCTCTGAAATGTGTCCTGAACCATTGAACTCAGGAAATCACAGCTAGTGAATCACCCATTAGGGATCAATGAGAATATTAAAACCCAGTTAGCCTGATGATATTTGAATGTTTCTTCCGATTTTGGCTTTCACATCTTCATCCGCTTCACCTGTAGTTAAAAGAATGCTGCCCAATTATGTAAAGGAAGCAACCTCTTTCGAATTCCTCCCGTTGAAAATGATTGGTACTGTTTGTTGTTTGGTTACATTCATCACCTCTGTCCTCTGTGTCCACCTAAACTCCTGCCTTTACCGCCACTTCAGACATTTTGTTGATTTTCCCCTTTGAGCCTACGAATTTGTGTGATGTTGGACATAAATCAGCCACAAATTCTAGGTCTTCTAGTGTCTTATCAGTCCAACATACTCCTGTCCACTCACATCCATTCCAGCATTTTCCTCATAATCCACTCCACCACAGCAGAGAAAATCATCGATGATAACAGGCAGTCTTTTCTTACCCATGTATTCACTTCGAACGACTCGCTGAGTTTTTTGCAGTGTGGATCACCCGACAAGCGACATTATCATATAGCCGCTGAATGAGATTGATAAAGATTTGGGTAACTGCACACTTTAATGTTGAATTAGTTTCCGGATTGCTTCACAGTTGACACTTTTGAAGGCCTTTTCAAAGTCGATTAAAATAAGGTATAAATTTGACTGTCATTCTGTGCTCTGTATGAGGACGATGAGTAGACTTGCGATTTGATCAGCACATGATTCGCCTTTCATGAATTTAACTTCTTACGAGCGGAGATCTGCATCCGGTGCATTTTTTAGCCTCTCTAGGATGACTTAACGTTTTGCTTGGCGTGAACAAGAGAGTTATTCCGCGCCAGTTGTTACACAGGCCTAAGCTCCCTTATTTGGTAGTTGCACAAGTTAGCATTTCTTCCAATGAATAGGCGCCTTTCTTTCCTTCTAAACTTTTCACAATAGTAGGGTGAGTGTATCCGCTGAGGTCTCTGGGTCCGTTCTGAGTGCTTCAGGAGGAATTCAATAAGGTCCTTTTGCCCTTTCTGATATTAATAGCTTCTCTGCATTCAAGATTTTCGTCTTTCGGAGGATTAACGCTCACTGCAAGTTGAGTGGATGTTGGTGTTATTTTATGAAGAAATACAGGTGGTGGTCAATCCAACAGTCCTTTGAAGTGATCAGCCCATTGTTTTATTCGTCTCTCTTCTTTGCAACCACAAATGTCGGCTGATCTTGGCTCAGAGAAACAAATCTGACTGACAATGACCGACATTATTCTGCAATGAGTACAATTCACCCCTCATTTCACGGTGAAAATGTTGACAAAACCATGCAAATATAGCACTTATTGTAAATTAGTACCTAGTTTGGATATAAATCAGGAGTAAGATTCGATGCCGTATACAGGATAGTTATATGGGAGAAATGACTTCAAGCTTCATTTTTTTCGGAGTACTTTTAATCCATCCAACGCTTACTTAGATTCCCTTTATAGATGCTACGTTCGATACTGCACCTTTAAACACTAAATTTTTGCTTTATATAGTAGTGTGTATGTTGTATCAAATAGACCGTTTGTGGTTCATTGAACTGTTGTACACTTCTGTTCAAATTCACACCCTGTTAATTTCTAGCTAATTTTCGGTTTAACTGTTGTGTTCTTGGTGTTTGGGCACCGGATAACTTCATGTCCGAAGTTTTGTGCTGTGTTTACCTGATATATTTTGCTAAATGGAATAGTAACCTTACGGGTCTTTAATATTGTGTTATCAGCCTAACTCTAATCAAATTAATTACGTTTCATGTGAATTGATCTTTTCCCAGATGGGGACCTGGTTCTCATGTTCCTTCTAACTACAGTCTGCCTATTCTGCTTCACCTGACAATGTGTCGTAGAATTATCTTTTGTTTTTCCTAGCACTCTTCTTCACCTTTTTATTCATCGCAGTGTACACTGAACTCAGCTTTTTCCGTTGTCCATTTCTGCTGTGGTTCATATGCTGTTTCACAGTCCTCCTCTCTTCTATTGGCTTTCAGGTGTCCATTGAGAGCCATTCCACTGGCCTCTTCTTTCTTCCTAAGACAGCTGTACACATTTTCCTTACTATCACCTTCAGAGAATTCCAATGTTCTAAAACGCGGGTTTGCTCAGTTATACCACGTAGTGCCTTCGGCTTTGCTATGATAGCTGCAGTGGAGGCGTATCTTGCAGTTTAATGTTTTAGTGTCTGAGTGTTGAACTTGAACTGTGGTCCATCTCTAACTGTTTCTTAGGCTTTTGGCTTGACCTTAAAGTTGCGCTGAAACAGATAATCATTTGAGCCCATATCTGTTCCCTTTCTCTACTTCATGTCCAGCAGACTGCCCCCCCATTTTCTAAAGTGACACCTAGGAGAAGGTTATCTGACTTTTGGTGTGTTCATTATGTTGCCTTGTGTAAGTCCTTGCACTCCAACGCACTACGTCCAATCGCCAAATCGTTGAAGGTGTAGAAGTCTGAAGAGAGTTCACCGTTATCATCCATTTCGCGGAAAGCATCTCGACCCACGACCAGTCACTTCCTGTATAGTGTGCTTCCCGGACGGGGAGTTTGGCTGGCAACCCCATCGCCCATAAACAGCTTAATTTAGGCTTTGGGATGTTATCCATTACGCTGGCCGTTATTTATAGAAGTCTTCTTTCTCTTGTTTCGAGTTGTTTATAGGCGCGTAGCACTGCATAACTGTAACATGCTTTTCTCTTCAATTACATCTTTTATCACTACCATGCAGGAGGAGATTGGTTCCCACTGCATAAGAGCTTTAGCAGCTGTTTTTGAAGCCAAGATGATCACTCACTGCTCATGGTTGTCGTTTGGGTGATCGGACTCTTCAGTTGACAATTCTGATAATCTGCATCCATCCCGCCCGTTCTCGCAGACTCTTTGCACTCCTAAGATATATTTTACATTTCTCTAACAACAAGAGAAGTCTTACCAACTTCGTAAATTGCAGGAACCTTCGACATCGCCATACTTGTTTACGGTTCCACCAAAGGAAGATAAATCGTCCGACTGGTTTACCAAAGGCCTTCACCAGCCAGCATCACATTTTCCCCCTGATTTCGGAGAGGAATAGGTTTTTTTGTATTTTCAATGCTGTTCTTGAGCACTAAAGTTTCTGTAACCGTTCGGCTGATGCTTTGTGGTAGGATCGTTAGCCCTACCTTCAGCCCTCCTTTTCCCTGGCTTCGGACCGGCATGAAGACCAGAGAGCTGGTAACAAGGCCAGGTTAAACTAGCGCCACTATACCAACATACTGCCTACGAAATGAAGCGATTCATTTTTAGAAATCCTAGAATCATTCTCTAATTTGTACGAGCCTTTTCATTCTCCCCAGAAGTGAAGTATGAATAAGGCCCACAGTCATTTCATTATCTCTTGAAACATGCTTCGTTCAATTCATCAACTATGACTTAGTTGCTCACAAGTTCAGGCGAATAAATTCCATAGAACGCCTCAATATGAACAGCAGACAGCATGAAAAAGTCGATGGTTGAATGGGCTTACAAGGATTCCTAATTCGTAAAAATATCCTCAACTGGAGGCTTCTCGTAATCCTTGTGTTGAATTTTTCACGATCGCTGTGTGGATTACAGACCTGTTAATTATTTTTGTATATGAAACTTGGAAAAGTCTAGTACAAACGCCTTGATGAGCTTCATCCATTAAATTCTGGTGGTGAATAAAACCCTTTCCATGCACGGTAACCTGCATGAATAACAATGACACTCCGCAATAGTGCGCGGAAGTCCTTAAACGTTTTTAAAAGAACTCCTATATTAACGGCTGATTCCAGAGCATTCCAGGGTTCACATGTTGTATCAGATGATCCGATGGGAAAGAATAGCTTATCCTGACCTGTGTCATATCCACAGTTACTAGCAACAAGTGTAGTGTTTTTAGATGATCAGAGAAGTTGATCCGTTCAATTGAATCCCAACTATTTCGCTCCCAGTAGGTAACTTGGGTGTGCTTGTAGGGAGTGAAAGGATTTCGTCAACCCAAATGAACCTCAGCTGTTTCACCACCAACAACCAATTTGTTTATCCATGCGAAATGAAAAAACATGGTGGTCAATTTGGCTTTCAAGGAACAAGAGCTCCACTACTTCGTCGTGGTGTGGTTGTCTACATATACACTTCTGAGATCATCGTCAGTGGATACATCTTCCTGAAGATGTAAGTGTTATATTCTCCTTTCGTTAGTTGGGGCTGTGATAAGAGAAGCCTGATAACCAAGTTAGGTGGGCTAGTTTAAAGAGTTAAAAGGTGGTATGGCCAAAGATTACGTATAGCCACACAACAATATTGACTATCATTTCTAATTGAAGCCGATCAGAAGCCATCTCAAAGTTGCTCAAGGAGCTTAAATAAATTGTTTCCTAGGCATTTAAGTTCAAAATCAGGGTTTCCTTCAGTTTAAGTCTAACTAATAATAATAATTTACTTCGTGTTAACTGGTAAGTTTACAAGAAATGCATGCCAATTTTACAGGCACGATCAGTTACGTCATAAATAACCATCCTGAAGTATCATAAATTCACACTAATTCAAAAGTATAAGTTGTTTGAATGGCGTACAAATACTCAGAATAAGTTGTTATAAATGTAAATTGTAAATACTTCTGTCAGTCACGTCTCGTAAACCGTTAATGCCCAGCTCTTGCTACGCTCGGGCTCACGCTGTCGCTTGAAGTTTCTCCGAAACGCTTAGTAATAACGGACGATAAAACCAAAACACCA